TTTTAGTAAGATTAATTACTCCTGTGAGTTTCATGACAACAGGCCTATCGGTTTTCCTTAAAATGTGTTAACAGTGTTGCATATATGCTAAAAAGTGAAAACACAGCATAAATACTACAATAATTGCCCAAACATGCTGATTTTCGAACTTGACCTGCGTTTTATGAATATTCATCAGCTCTGTAAATATAAAGCCAAAAAGTAAAACTGTCTTCCACTTATCGTGTTAACGATGAAAGTGCACGGCGACGGCGACATCGACGGCGACGGCGACAGGGACGGCGACGACAGACGCAGGTGATGGCAATATGTACAGACACATCTGTGTCTGTACATAAAAATGCTGTTTACCCTGGCCAAATCCATTAAATCCTGGCTTGGAATGCTTCAACCTTTAAGGGTACTAAATTTCTGCTCAATTCATGGTGAGAGACACTGTTTGGTATAGGTTAAGTGACTGCATGTGACAGGGTTGTGCAAACTTAATTAACATAATATGAATGCATTATGATAAACACTTCTACTTCCAGCACAACTTGTCTGTCTAGTTTGTGACTATAGTGCCCTTCACCTATCACACCTGACATCCACCACTGACTCTGGGAACCCTTTATGGGTCTAGTGTTGCTGGTGACAGCATGTTTGCAGTGCAATATCAAATATTATGCCCTAATGTATGACAGTTGCCTTACAAAAAGTACACGTGCCTGATACAAAGTTATGTTTATGAAACATTAAATGCCTTTGTTCTGATAAAATGATGCATAAACAATGAGACTGACTTTAAAAAAGTTTAGGCAAAAAATAATAAATAGTAAAAGAGGAATAACAATGCAGCAAAGCTGGTCAGTATACAGATATAAAAAAAATCTTAAATCGCTAAACATTTGCACGTCATGAGCTGCCTTTCAAAACATGACCTGATGCAATGCATGTGCTAGAGAACAGAACACTCTTAGAAGGTTTAAAGAGGAGGGGGGAGATCTTGACAATTAATTATGAATAAAACACTACCAAATAGTTTGAAGAGAAGAGGGAAATACTGGGGGTGGGGAAAGACCTTGACAGTTATTAATAGAACACTACCAGATGGTTTGTGGAGTTGGGAGGAATACAGGATGGTGAATACCTTATATATATATATATATATATATATATATATTTGCTTCAGACGACATCATTAAAGACTGGAGATTAGAGTATATCCAGACCATGTCTGTATATAAAAAGAACAAGTATTGTCTAAATTATGCCATTCCCTGACACATGAGATCTGATGAGTGAGGGAGGAGAAAAAGCTCCACATGCCTAAACAACAGAATTCTCTATCTACCAGTTAAGAACAATAAATTTTAAATGAAATATACTCAAGCAAATGAATGTGGAAGTTCACTTTTCCTACTGTGCTGAGCCAGATCAGCCAGCCCTATTCTTCAATCCACCTGTTCACAGATGAAGACTTACTCTTTATAAGACACGTAGCTGCAGCTGTCTTGGTTCAGTTTTTTTTTTTACTAAAAACGAGAGGCCTAATACTAGTGCGAGGCATTTTTCCATATATAGTAATGAGATTACATGAAAGCCTTCCCAGTGTTAATGCCAGGGCTAGAGATGTGGAGATGACAACACTGAGATTCTTCTGCCAGTGCGAGATTTCTAATATATTACAGCATGGGGGTGAGGGAGGCTTGTAAATTACACTACTTGGCGAATTTTAGCTCGAAAAATACTTAAAACTCTTGAATATAAGTAACATCTTTAAATATATACTCAAGCATGAAATCATCCCAAATTGGCCAAAATTTACAGCTTATAAACAACTTCCACCATGCATTAAGCATTTGAAGGGCCAGCCAAGTTCTCAAATTCAAATTGCATTTTTTTTTTTCATTTTTGATAATACAGGGGATATATTCACTTGGCTTATGCAAACAAACATGTCTTTAAAAGTATTATTAAGGTATTCTTGAGTTTGGAATTGATAATTGACAGTCTGTAAGTAAAAGAAATTCCCCAATGTTGCAGATTTGTAGTTTTTTTCTATTTTGTACTTAATCACATTGCAATCCTTAGTCTCCATTTGCCTGGTTGGAGACATCTCTTGCCAACTGTGAACCCTGTGACACTGGAACATTGTGTGTGATCATTTGAAGGTCATGTTGCTTCTGGGACATAATCAGCCACCAAGAAATTGAAATGATGAGCAAGACGGGTAAGTACTGTAAACAGATGGAAGTCCTGCATATTATGTCATGGCTGTTGGACTTGTCTCTTTGCTTACTATTCACTATCATCTTCTTCCTCTTTACCAGCACCCCCTTTGGTTTTGCAGTATTTAAAGCGATGTTTCATATGTTGTGAATAGGATCCACTATGACTGAATCTCTTACCGCAGCGGTTACAGCGGTATGGTTTTTCGCCTGTGTGCAAGCGAGTATGCTCAATGAGATGGTGGCGATGCTTGAATGCCTTGGTGCAAACCTCACAAATATGGGGTCGCGGAACGTCGCCATCTGGAAGTGCAGAAAGACAGCTTGGTTAGTGGTCTAAAATTTCAAACAGTCTCAATTTTTGTTCTCAAAATTTTCACTCATAGGGGAAATTGCTCTAAAATTTCAAACACCAAAAACTGATACATGGTGAATGGCTGGGTGGTAAGAAAATTTGAACATTTATTTGCTGTTTGAAATTTTAGGACAACTACCATAAGCTTTTTTTCTACCTTCACATGGACAACATATATTAACTAACAATTCATAAGAAATACATAAATACAGACTTTATTTACCCTGGAATGGTAACTGCTCTACAACATAAAGAAGAATAGAATACTCTGTACAATTATAATACTAATATGATGGTATTACAGTAACATGTATCTTGATTACTGCAGCATCAGGTTGTCTTTGCACATGCATGGTTACCATGACAACAGTGTTTTATTCTGAAGAGAAGTTATTTGTTATAGGTTCAAAATGTTCAAATGGTTAGCTCCTACCAGTTATTTGTGGCAGAGAAAACTAATATTTAATCATTTCATTTCACAAGTTCTTTTCATGCATTCTCCTATTTAAACTACTTCTCTTTCTTTGAGCATATGGAATCAACTACACTTAAATAATGCTACAAATTACAGTATACATACATAGCCCCAATTTCATACAACGTTAAATAAGAGGAGACATCCTGTTAAATCAAAAACTAATTTCTCTCTACCCCTAAACACAGGACACCCATATACCACATCAATCTAGTTCTACTAATCCACAACACTGATACAACAGACAGCTAGAGTTCTTACTTAATTAGCAGTCCACAATCTAAGACCTGCAATGCCTGGACCAAGAGAAAAGTTCATAAACAATGCAAATTGCTGTCAAATAATAAGTATCATAATATAAAAGACAGTAACAAATTATGAGGAATAAAATATATATATATAAAAAAATAATAAAAAGAGAAATTACGCAGGAGATGAAATTTCTAAAATATTTTTTAACTTATAAGCATGCGTTACGTCTGACTTGTATAACTTTCAAAAGTTAAAGAAAATGATACTAATTTTTAATGACATCTAGTGACAAGGAATAACTGACAGGACAAAATCTATTCAACAATTTTGGAATGTTTTCAATGAGTGGATGAGGGGTAACTGATTCAGAACACTGAAGGCAAAGCATCAATATTTTGATCAAATTCAGTTTCATATAGTATTTGTTCCAATATTTTAAATTTTTTCAGAAATTCCTGTTCCATTTCTAATTCTGCAACATAGAACAGACGTCCACACCAATAGTGTGAAGTGCCTGAAGCTGTAACATGTATAACAATTAGGGTGACGTTGTAGAAATGTGGTTGTCTTTTGTTTGAAAGCACTGTGCGATACAAGTTATTTCTTTAAAGGTCTCAGTATTAAAAAAGAACATTTTGTATCTTGCATAAAACCCAATCCACACCAGGGGATATCATACCCCTGCAAAAATGAAATTAAATGTACAAAGAAATAATAATAATAATAATAATAATAATAATAATAATAATAATAATAATAAGACACCAGGTACTGAGGATGGCATATACACAGAAATAAAAAAGGGAACAGGTTCAAAGACACCTAGACAAGTGGGATGGGTATAGTTTCAAAATATTCTTACATAGAAATTCAGCAAATTTTCAATATGACAACAAGCATGGACCCCCCAAGAGAACTAAATATGTTTCTTAATGTCTACAGTTTCTTATTGCATTCTGACAAACCACCAATACAAAATGCATATATTGTTTGATGGATACAGGTTGAAATTCCCAACCAGGCATCATTTAACAGATGATCTGCAGACTAACTGGTCCACGGATCAAATATGGCCAACACCACTTGAGAGTAAATGGTCTCCCTACCTACCACATGGCTGGCCCTGCAGGGGCCTAGTAATTAAAACTCAGAGCTGAGATTTAATGCATTTAATTGCTGTGCCCCTACAGGCCTGGGGTGTGTGGAAGGCAGCATTAGGGAACAAGGGGCATTGCTTTCAAGTGGGGTCGGTCATATTTAATCAGCAGACCAGTTAGTCTGCAGATCATCTGTTCTGAATGGGTCCATACTCAAGCTGTGTTTTGATCCTAAGATTCTGTCTTGTAAGCTTGAAAATATTAAGTAATGCAGTTTTCCTTTTATGGTATTAATATGGGGAGTGAACAAAATGTTTTTTCAAAGCACAGTACTTAAAAGGATCAACACCACCGATTTTTAATTCTGTGCTTCAGGCTCATGAGAGTTAAAATCATATCATGAAAATACCAATGTGTGAAAAAAAATAATAAGACATTGCACTGAATGTGCACCATTAGGATAGCTCAGCTATCTGACAGAGAAGGGAATCTAAAAGGAATCTCTGTTTAAAAAATGTATTTTCCTCCTAAGTGCTGTCCCCTCTATATACCCTGTTCACACTGCCATCTGGAAAAATCCAGATTTTTCAAATTCTTATTTCTGGTAAAAAAGCTAATTTGCTTCCCTGTGTACACATGGCAAAATTAATTGAATCCAACGTTGAAAAAAGAATCCAAGTGGATTTCTTTGTTAAGAACAATCATGCATGCACCACACAGGAAAACTTCAATCATACAAAAATGTGGCACCATTAACAGCTCTACCATTGGAACTCTGCTTTTTGCTGTTGTTTTTATTTGTTATAGCAAGTGCAACTCAAAAGACATTCCAGATATTCTGGGAACTCAAATAGCAACATAAATTTACATTTCCACCTTGTTGTAGTGAGTGGTGACCTCCAAATGCTTTTAGTGCATTTATTAAGGAAATAAACAAGTGCCCATAGATACCAGTACATTTTTGCACAGATGAGCAGTAAGTCCTAACCAGGTTTGCGTTCCAGTAAGTTACTTGAATCACTATCAGAAATCTAGCCGGCAAGCAGGATTTTAAGAAACTGGTTAACAGAGATCCCCATGCAGTCACACAATTATCTGAATCGCGAAATGATTTGTTATTTATTTAAATAAATGGTCATAGTGTGAACAGGGTATAAACATCAACAATTCTATTGGGCTGTCTAGCTAACAGACACCCAGATTGTTTTACATTAAGTAAGGAATGTTAACAGTTACTAGGCTCTCAGCCACTTGCACACTGTCTGTGCTTAGGTATACAACAACACCCAAATGATAAAGAGCTAAAGGGATGTCCAATGTAATAAAAAAATACATCTTCACAGCAAATTTATAAATTCATTTCAAATGAGTAAAGAAAAATAAATGCACCATCTCATATATAGACCACACCAGTAGAATGTATCAAGCATTCTATAGGTTGTTAAAAATGAATCTGTAAATGAACAAAAAACTGAATGTGAACAGTACAGCCAAGTTAGCCTCTAGAGCTGACACAGTGCAATTATGTAAACTGAGGTTATGGGTTTCTCAGAGTAAGTGACCATAAGGCTTGTTCAGAACCAGTTGATCCTTGGACAAACTAGTCCAGAGATCAATAATGGCGCTCCTGTCTTTGTAGGGGCAGAGCAATTAAATCTCTGCATTCTTTCAAGTGGGCCACACCATTTTTGATCCACTGTCTGCAGATCAACTGGTTCTGAACAGGCCCATTCACATAGCTACAGTACATTACATGTTCACAAATACTGAACTAATGACTAATTGCAATTACCTTGAAAAAAGATTATCTGATAGATGGCTGAGCAAGGGCAACCAGAAATCTTGAACTATATATGTATATATTGTTCTGGACAGTTTTAAAAATGGAAGATATTTCAAATATAAACAGAATGGTTGAAATTCTGAGATATTGCTGGCAACATACAAAAAGCTGGGTGAAAAATCAAGTGAATTTGTTACTACACGTAAAGGCCTGGTAACCTTTTAAGGAAGCAGAGACGTAGAGAGATATGCTGCGGCACAACATGATAGAGAGAAATAATGGTCCCTCTTCTATTTATCATCTCTATCTCTCATATTCATTTTCTCTTACTTTTCAGTACTAATTATTAATCAAAATCAACCTCATTAAAACCACAAGGCAGCAAAGCTGTCAAATGTACAGACAAATAGAAAAAAAAAAAGATGTACAAAATAGGTTATTTTATCAATTTTGATGCAATAATCATCATTGGGTGACATCCATTCTCAGCAGGCTGGCTGCCATGGATCGCCATGCCACTGGATCTCGTGCCACTTGCATGTTTTCACTATATTTTTGAATGGTCGATTTTTAAATGTTGTCTATCCATGTTGTTCATGGTCTTCCTTCTCGTTGTTTTCAATTTAACTTTCCTTTTAATAACAACTGCTGCAAATTATCTTTTATTATGAAACTACCAAAAAAGTAATTTTTGTTTTCTTGATGGTGTTCAACAATTATCTTTTTATTTTAAGATTATTTAGTACTTCCTCATTACTTTTGTGTTCAGCCTATGCTATCCTTATCATCCTTCTATATACCCAAAGTTTTTTTATTGTTGTTTTTGTTAGTGCTTGTGTCTTTGCATAATTGTGTTGACCAGATGTAACATAAATGATAGATGCAACAATAAATTATGCTTAACAGCAAAGTTAACACCAAATTTTAATTATGCACAACCAGTAACACAAATATTAGGAATAAGTAAATAGCATAAGGTTTAAGGCCCATAGGAGTTCATATTAACACACTGAAAATGCCAAAACGAAAAATCTGAAAATTTCACAAACACACACAAAAAAACCTATCAAATAGGTTGTCCAATTTGAGCTGTATGTTAGAATTATTCTTGTTAGTTAGGAAAGTAGTCCTGTGAAACTTTTCTGTAAGTTTGAGAATCATATGTAACATGGTTTTCCTTTAATGGTCATTATTGTGGCAGTGACCAAAATAGGGTTTTGTGTCAACTTTGATGCTTAACAACTTTTAAAAAGCATAAAAGCATAACTTCAAGAAATGTAATCCTATCAAGCTGGCTTTCAGACTCGACCTGTACTTTATTAATATTGATCACTCCTAAAAGTGAAGGACAAAAGGTCAACTGGTTTTCCACTTATATGCTATCTGTATTGCATACAAACAAAAATGACTTTTGGAAAAAGGCTCTAATCAGGCTGGTTTTACAACATGACCTGTATTTTCGCAATCTTCAGCAGCCCTGTAAGTTTGAAGACAACAGGTCTTCCACTTATTGTGTGATAACATGAAAATGTGCACGGTGTCCACAACAGAGGCAGTTGACAGCTATATGTACAGACACACTGTGTCTGTACATATAAAAGCACATTTCATTGAATCAATGCCACGAATCTGCCATCTTTATTTCTAGCTGAATAATTAATAGCAATTCCCTCCTTCAAATCTCTGATGCAACATTAACTGACTTTATCCATCTCACTTCATATTAAGCTTTAAGTGTTTATTTAATCATCTTAATTGAACACTTGACTACCACTATTAAGCACTTAATTAGTGGTGCAAAGACAACTATTTCAATCATTAAAATTGGCAAGGCTAAAATAAATCAAAATTTAATTAACTATCCTCACCATTCTTCCTATTTTTACTCTTGGATTTTTTCTCTTTCTTTTTCTCCTTGTCTGCTGTCTTTGATTTACCCAAGCAGCCACTGTCTTCTTCCTCGTCTTCTTCATCCTCATAGTCATCGTCCTCTGTGTAGGACACTGTACTGGCCATGGATGCTGGGGACTTCAGATCTTCAAAATCACGTCTATTCTCCTCTGGAAAACGTTCCTCCTCCCGCCTGTCTCGCCCTGGGGATTTCTGGTTTGGGTACTCATCTTTCCAGCCTTCTTTCACAGGAGATTTTGTGCTTTCTTTATAGCCCCCATTTGCAGGAGATTTGACCCGCTCCAGCTGTGCCATGCTCTCAGCCTGGTTGTTTGGACTGCCCAGTGGAGTATCACCCATCTTCTTAAGAGTTGGAGGCCCATCATCTGTCTCCATCTTCTCTAGGCCTGGAATAAAAAACTAACTGTAGAAACTTGGTGGGAGACAGTTTTCCAACTGGCTTTCATTTCAACAGGCAGTCTTTGTCATCAAAATGTTATACATTCACATGTTTAATTAACATCAAGTTAATATCCCTTTCTTTTGTTAACATTTAAGGGATCTTCATTTAACATATGCTTCTTTTTATACAACACACATACATTGTTTACCGAACAGAGTAAAAAATGCAGTGATTCCATACCATAAGTTTTCTCCATAGCACCATTTTGTGTTGGATGTGTATCCCCTTTTATCTGAAAGGAGTAACTGCATTATTATCTATTAAAAACCATTTTGCAAGATCTCTTCAATGAAAAACATTAATTTTGCTTATGCCGTTTTCATTCCCAAATGGAGTTTTGACCTTCCACATACACACCCAACTAATCATAATTCATTTGGTTAACTTATCAGGTTGACGTGGGGGCTCTGTTTAGGTGACTCTAGCTAGGTTATTCAGTTGTAAATGTCTGAAACTGCTGAGATACAACTGTACAAGCCTAAATTCCCTTTAGTGAAGAGGTTAGTGTCAAGTTATCTGTGAAGCTCAGGGTGTAAGTTCCAAGACAAAAGGTAAAACTGATTTTCACTTATCGTATTATCACTAAAAGTGCACGGCGACAACTAAATGTACATTCACATCTGTATCTGTACATAAAAAGTATTTCACTTTTCATGGTAACAATAAAAGTGTAGGGCTCTAGCAACAGTAATATTGGTAGATTTAGCAATAAATGGATTCACAAGACCATGATTCTTTCCTTAACAAATTGATGCAAGTAATGAATTTGTTTTGTCGGACCTGGTATCTACCCACCTGTGCTTTTTGCATGTCAGTGTCCCCAGTCTCTTCCCCTGGAGTCTCACTGTCAGTCTTGCCTGCATGCTGTTCATCCTCAGTAATTTGCTGCTTCCTCTCTGCCTCCTGCTGCTTCTCCATCTCCAGTCTCTCTTCTTCTTCACGCTCTTTTCGTTCCTGCTCTTCTTTCTCACGGCGTTCTCGCTCCTGTTGCTGCATAATGGCCATCTGCTTCTGCCTCTCTATGAGGTCTACCTTGGCTTTCTCTATCATCTCAGTGAATTGCTCCTCAGTAATCACTGGTTTGTTTTCACACAGCTGAGGAAATAAGGATTCAAATTATTTTTAGTAAATTTTTCACACAAGAAAGTGTACATACTACTTCTAGATCGTTTTAAGCCCCCTGCACGGTGGGCACAGTCCTCCAATCACCAACAGATTCCCCTGACATGTCCTCTGCTAGTAAAGCTACTGAATATTTTTTCTTAGGTAAGACAGTAAAGGTATTCACAAAACAACAAACTTCAATATAGTATAAACCTGAAAGTAAGATACCTTTTTCAGATCACGATGAAATTCTTCACTGGATTCGATGAATTTTCTTTTCTTTTCTTCATGCTTTTCTTCAATCTGCTTGAGCTCACTTTCCAACTTTTTCTAAAGGAAGACAAGTGTTCTTTTGACATATTTTGTTTAATGAAAACTGTTTATGAAAGTCTGCCTAACTGGTGGATGACCAAATATTGAAAATCAATCTGTATGGAAGATTTTATTGTCTTATCTGAAATTATCATAATTTTCCTTTTTCACATCAAAATTTAAAAACTAAGGTAGTCCAGATGTCAAACAGACAGACTGATAATGATTGAACTGATTGAACCAGTATCCTTAAACAAGGCAGCAGAGGTGTCAAATGTACAGATAAAAAGCAGAAATGATGCACAAAATAGATTTTTTTTGGAAATTTTGATAAAATACATTATGCTAAACAGCATTATCACCACAGATTTTTATAACATGACATAATAAGTATATGGATATCTAGAAATGACTAGCAAAGGCCTTCAGGCCCATTGAAGTTCAGAGTCACACCTTGAAAAATGAACATTTCACACACTCACACACAAAAAAATAAATAAAATAAAATAAAAAAATGCATATCTTTAAAAGAATAAACAAATGAAATAAATAAATAAATGATAATAATAATTTAATCAGGCTGGTTTTAGAACAAGCTGTATCTGAGTCTATTTATCAGTACTTTAAGTTTTAAGATAATAGGTCAAACAGTTTTACATGAAATGTGTTCTCTGAACAAAGAAACTACAACGCATCCAAAATATCTCAACTCATCTTCTTACTCAGGACTTCTACTGGGAATCACATGACATTGATTTTAAAAGAACTTAACTGTTTAACTGTAAATGCACAGATTTTATTCAAAGTTTTAACATCAGCTCATGCTGCTTTAAAAATAGTCTGATCATGCTGATTTTCGAACTCCACCTGTATTTTACGAATATTCATCAGTTCCAAAATTTCAAATTCAAATGTGTTATCGCTGAAAGTGTGCGACAACATCAATGATGACATCAGATACAGGTGATGGCTATATGTACAGCCACATTTGTGTCTGTTCATAAATAGCATTTCACTTTTCATGACAACAATAGGGCTCTAACAGTAATATTTGGTAGATTTACCAGTAAATGGATTCACCAGGTCATGGTTTTTTTCTTAACAAAACTAGCGATGCAAGTAATGAAACTGTCATGTCTGACCTGGTCTCTACCTACCTTGGTATAAACAAATGTAATATTTTTGGCAGAAAATAACAATTTTCCATAATTTTGGTCCATTTGACCTTAAAATAAAGGTCAAACCCAGAGTCAAGTTTGAAATTGTCCTATATGACTTTCAGTCTGACACCTTTAGTATCTTTTCCCATACTTCACTTGATTTGGGAGATATTTAGCATTTAATTTTCAAAGGTACATAATGAAAAGTGTCACACCTAGGCAAATGCACGAACAGAGCCCAAAATGTACAGAGTTCAAGTTGAGATTTTATGTGACCTAATTCCAAGAGATGGGGACACAGGCTGTTGTAGTCTAGGAGGTGAGGTGGTCACAGTGATTTGTATCTGTTGACATGAACCGGAGCCAGTGAAGCCAAACAAGACGGGTCGGGACTTAAACCATGCTCACACTGGTAGTACAAATACAATCGTATGGTTGTAATTTAATTTATACTATTTGGTGGCATCTGGTCAGGTTTAGTGACAATGATTTGATGCATCTACTCACTTAACACTTATCTTTAACAGCAATTTTATTAGTGACAGATGTCGAATGATGACTGTAAATTCAAAATTGCGGCTCTTAAAACTCTTGTTGGTCCTTTGGACCGAACAAGTCCAATTTTTTACCGGTCCAGACAAATTTTCCCGGTCATGACCGATCAGACCGACAGTTTAAGCATGTCTGATATTTAAAAAAAATATCAATATATTAAATCCTAAGTGCAAACAAGAAATCTATCCTTTTGGAAATGATATATTTGCTACATCTAGGGTGCTCATATTAATAATATACCCAGGCAATCTGCCAACCTTGTGTCAAGGATGTGGGTACTTGCAAAATGATTTTAATAGCATGTGCACCCTCCTTACATTCCACTTATATGCAGGACATAGTCTGCAGATCATGTGGTGACCTACAAGATTTCGAAAGGCCTTTCAGCCATTGTAACGGATGTATATCAAATGAACAGCCCCAAAACTCTACAAGCTCACTTCAACAGTGTCCTAAAATGCCTCTTGGAAGCATGCCATACGAAATTGTATGGACAAGTTACCTGGTGTGTCTGCAGAGACTGCACCTGTCTCTTGAGTACAGCCATCCGTCCTGTGGTGACCACAGTCCTCACATCTGGCACCACTGCCTCACTGAAGATCTCATTGATCAGACGGTGGTTTCTGTGGTAACGTGCTGCAGCAACATGCTTCACAGAGAAACCATCATCAAAATCTGGAAACAAAACAGATATCAATAAATATTTCTGTCCCCCGTCGTAAGTTTTTTAAAAACGGGTTGCCAAATGTATAGACCCCCCCCCCCCCCCAAAAAAAAAAAAAAAAAAAAAAAGGTTATTTGCCCATTTTTATTCAATTATACATTATCCATTACAGCAAAGTCAATCCCAAATTTCAATTATGCACAACACAATCTCTGACTCACGCACACTTCTGATAAATCAACCTCCAGGCAAAAACTAAAGGCTTCCAGTGCTTACAAGCACATTTATGCATAAAAGTTCTGAATATAATCTGATCCTAAGCATCTCCTGAGTAAACATTTATAACCATTCAGCTCACCATCCTCGTCCTCAGCTGGCTGAATGCTAATTCTTGGTTCAGTCCGACCACGAGTTCTTTCTCGTTCTCGTTCCTTCTGTTCTTCTTCTAATGCTGCCTCAGCTGAAATAAAATAACAACCTGATTAAAAAAAAAATTTGAATTTTACTTGTTATCTGTGCATAAAAATTGCTTTATGTTAGCCCAATTCAAGGCTCCTTCGCTATTTAAAGTATCAAGCTTAGGAGCATATAATGAGCGCTTACAAAAATTCATACATTAAAACATCTGATGATTGCAAAATCAATACAAAATCACAGCTGCACATACTGTAATATTTGTACTGAATAAATGCTACAAACAGATCCAATAAATCAAACAGTGGTGGCCACATTACCTTTGCCCTTGGCTTGTACATAAGCCTGATAAACCGGAGAGTTGTGGTACATCTTCATGTTTTCATTGTATTGAATCTGTAACAATGTAGTAATAAAAGTAAGGGAATTAAATACATTTAAAAGTAATCGACCTTTGACAAGTAAGAAAGAGGAATGCCAGAGAAAAAATATCTCATTTACATCAAAGATATATTATAAAACTGCTCAATAGAGCAAAGACTTGCAGACTACAGTACAAAAATACTGCATCTATGGGGTCTAGTTTATTGTGAAATTGACATGGTGCTGTTTTGCATGTTTGTGGTCTACTGAATTATGCACACGCAGGCTCCTATGGCTGGGCTACTCTCTGACCACAAGGGTCGCTTCTAGTCTGTTACAAAATTGCTGAAAAGTCTCTTCTTCACTTTTGTTATAGGCTATACTTGCCCCCATTTCACAGGGAAAAAAAAAAAAAAAAAAAAAAAACTCAAGTCAGGTACCCTGACTAAAAATTTGCTTACCAACAAAATAATGTCTGTGCGTCAGTAAGTCGTGTTTCACAAAAAACCTTAAGGCCCCACTTACCTCATTTTTTTCTTAGCTGTTAGGCTTTGTTGACTAGGGGGCTATCTTAAGTCAACAAGCTTAAAGAGATAACAACTCTTTGTATGAGATCTATGTTTCATGATAAATACATTGTAAACAACCCATACAAATATAAAGTATTCTATTTTACCACATTAACGGCAATTGTAGCCATTATTCTGAAATTGTTTTGCCATCAGACCACGTGACCTCCATAGATGGCTATACTCTGCAATAATCTCTTAAGAGATTATTACAAAAAAAAACAAATTTTTAAGAAAAAAAATACCAAGGACTGACTTTGAATGTAGAAATGGATTCAATAACCATTGGTAAGTATGGGAAAATTGTTGTTAACCCCAGGAAAATTCATTTTTTGACCGAAATGAACAGTAATTATCTTTATAACTAAAATTTGGTAAATGAGAGTCTAATAATCAACAAAAATTTTGACAGTACATACCTTCTTGAAAATGTACATGATAGGCATGCACCAAATACCCAAGTAAATATTACCAAACAGTTGACACTTTATTAACTCACAGGTATTTTCAACTTGAATGATGAAAGGTGTGGATTTTGGGTCAAAATGGACTGGAACCAATTGCGAGGATCAAAGAACAGTTACCATCAAAAACTGCGAATAACTAAGTCAAGTATGCGCTTTCATATATAAATTAATCTTTATGAGTAATAAAATGCCTACCTTTTCAGCTTCATATTCATCCAAGAATTCCTGCTTTTCAATATCAGGCAGGTCTCTCCACATGCCTCCTATAATCTTCCCTATCTCCCACAGCTTCAGCTCCTGGTTGTCTGCTTTCACTTGGTCCCATACCTGCAGCAAAGTAAACACCATCTTATTGTTATATGCCACAGCTTACAGAGGCCCTGTCGAATTCTGTTCATAATTTTACATAGCATATAAACTGATTTCTAATTTTAATTAGCAAGATGTTTTTGTTTAGAAGACATATGGCCTAAAAAACAGGAAAAGTACATTTCACAATAAAAAGTAGTACAAAGGTCAAATCAGGCAACATACAATTTCCTACTGGAGTTTGATAATATACACTATGGGATAATCTCTTCTCATTTTAGAGACATAAGGGCTAGAAAATTGAAAGTGTATCTGACTGCGAAATTCAGGTCATAGGTAAAAATCAAGGGCATTTTTGGATTTCCAATACAGAATTTCTTTTTATTTAACAATAACTTTGGGTGTATCTTTGCCAGTTTAAATTACACAACAAATGGTTTATTTTAAAAAGGCACTGAATCACTTTTATCCTTCTCTTTTAGTTCACAATTATACTCAACTTGCAAGAATAAATATTATTGTTCTTATTGTGGAAGATAGGCCAAAGTTCAATCTGGCGTATGGTATTATACAATCCTTCAGCCGTATGAAAATATTGTATTAACTTGAGATTTCCTAACAACCATCTAGTCTTTGCTAATCGCCACAATATTGAGCAGTGTATCTCAAACATTAGTGATACATATTTTTGGTTGTTTGATTAAAATGCAAAAAAAAAAAAAAAAAAAAAAAAGGCTATGGAATAAAATGATTTTTTTTTTGTTGTTAAAGAACTGAGTTTCTTAATGTCTGCCTACTGACCTTTCTGCTGTATCTCATATATGGCATCAAAGGTTTCTCTGGGGGCTTAGGAGCCTTTGGCACACGGACATCATTCTACAACAAACATGTCAATGATGCAAAGATTTTATAACATCTTTATCAATAATATCTATTACACAAATAGGTTATATGCAATATATTTTAATACTTGTTCATATCAAACAGTCAAAAGAAAAATGAAAAGAGTTCTGGTGTTACACAGATAAAACAGAGATTTGATACTTTCACATTGACTTTTATGGTTTATTAACGTTTATTCATTATTTGTATTAAGTAAAGAAAATGTGATAACAATTGGCACTCACACTGGCTCTCTGTCCCAATTTAACTGGATTAAAAGTGGGGTTTCCATGGGGGTTAGTGATAAAAGGACCATTTGTCTGTGACTGAAAGAGTTTCAATAAATGGAGTATAGGCAAAAAACCTGAAAACTAAAAGTGCTGGTTTTGCAACATCCTTAAACAGAACATGAAATGTTGAATGCAGCATGACAATGTTCAATAAATGCAATATAACATTAGTGTCAGCAATATATTAGTAAGCACTCAACCACATTAATTTTTTTTTTTTTTAGTAAAAAAAAACATAAAAAGACAAATATTCCACAAAAAAGTAAGTGAGGCTCTGTCTAGTAAGATTTTCTTGAGGGGCCCCAAAACTTCACAGATGCATCAAGTCTCACTGATATGAATGCAGGGGATACCCTGTGTGTTTCTGGGCCTTTCAGGTTGGAGAGAAATGAACTTCAGACATGTGGATGTTAAGGGAGGTAACCATACCTGTGAACTGTTGTTTGTACTACCAAATGGTTGGCGAAGTCTTTCTGGAAATAGAACAAATGCATAAAATGTAAAAAGCATTATTTAAACTCAAGTTAGGTCAAACTCCGAACAGAGAAATAAGGACACATACCAGACATGAGGTTACAATCATATAGCAGGAAGATCTTTAAAGAAACAAGGCAGCAAAGCTGCTATATACAATCAACAGAATCTGACGTGGGCTAAACATTTTTTTTGATAAGGGTGAATCAATGTGCTTGCACTGGGAATGGTGTCTTAAAAAACACTCAATTTTACACTGACTCCACTCACACTGGCACTTTTCAACCTTGGTTTTGGGCTGACTCATGTCCTATGGGGGTTCACTTTTCTAATGTGAACGAACTACGTACCCCTGACCGCAGTCCTAATAAACCCAAATTTGGACCTGGATTAAAATTTTAACAGCAGTCTAGCTTATGAGAACTACACTATGCATGTTTAACAGGTGCATGTACTAACGTCACAGTTTTCTCCCTGGCCGTAGTAAATAATTTTATAAAAAGTACTAAAAGAAAGGGAGAGTCAGTAAACCACTGATAATGATATTATGAAATCAAACTTATGTTGTACCGCGAACGTACGTAGAAGGCTGCACTTTGTAGTTATAGTACTACTACCAGCGAACACCAATCTACAGCATATCCTAACTGCGGGAGACGTTTTTCAAAGAGTCAGTAATAAGTAAGTCATATAAAAGACTAAACAGAGTCTATATTATTGCATAAGAAAGACAATACCTCCAGGTATTTATTGTCAGAACATCTCATCTCTTTTTTTTCTCTTTTTTTTTTTTTTTCCGGAGGAAACACCTGACGTGATAGTCGCCATTTTTTTTAAGCTACAGTACGGAATTGTGGGATACGGCTTATTTTGGGAAACCCCTTCCAACCACCTAATTGGTTTCTGCACTCAGCAGAGCCTTGGACAGGTTGCGTAATGGGCAGTTAGCACATCATCGCGAAGTGAAGCTCCTGCAGAGCAAGTACAAAGCTTTCTGTGCGCGGGCAGAGATAATTGCTCCCACATGGGATTTCTCAACAGGGTGACTTAGAAACAAAATGACCATCTATCTATCTAGAGACTTAACTGTGAATATCTGTAAAAAATCTATCAGTCGCCCTGGTACAGGGTAGAATGAACCTAGGTTTATTTGACTGCAATTCAATCAGAGTTAACTCGACTGGGGTTAACTTGCCAATGTGAATGGTCCCAATAATGATAGCTGTGGTGAATAAAACAATCATACTAAAAATGAGAGACTGAAACTGAATATACTGATAACCAGTTCTTGCACAAACACACACATCTACTGATATTTCTGTAATTTATCCAATCTATAGATGTATTCATGAATATATATTTAGTATGTAGTACTTACGTGCTAAAGAAGGAGCAACTTGTGGGGTAGACTGTTGTGCTGTACGATAATTAACAGGCAGAGCCATTACTTGTTCTTTGGTCATTCACAACACTCCTGAAAAGAGAGAAACAGGTGATCTATTTTCAATTAACGCGTGTGAACATTACATTACTGATGTTCCAACCAAATTGGCAGGGATTTACTTGCAGAGACCATCTTTCCAGATAAACGACATAATTATTGTTTGTCACCTACAGTAAAATGGTATACACTTGCATCTTGCTATATTAAGAATAGTTTACAGTCTAATAAAAACAAATAGGTCAATTCACTATATTTATGCCTTTTGTTTCGGGAAACCTCCTGCCATGGAAAATTAAACCATTTCTGCAAAGCGAGTGATAAGCTAGACAAAATGCAGGTCCAATTTGAAGCGCTGCGCATAATATTTCATATTTACATTAAATATAATAGATTAATAAAATCCACGTGAAAATATAAAATATTGGCATTTATATTCTTCATTGTTAAGCTTAAGCATCTCTGAGCATTTAACATCAGTTTAATGGCTTTCTGTTATGAGGTGAGATAGCAATCAGTATGAGGTATCACTTCATCCCTCAATCATTTTTATGTTAGGCTTTACAAGAAGCTGTGGATGGGAAAAATAAGCATTTTAGGGACTTTCAAACCAATAAAGTGTACCTTTAATTGAAAAATAAATTATATTTACATAAGAAAAGAGATATTTCAAATGTATCTGTACTTAACTACTTAAAGTGCAACTTGGTAGGTAAAAATAAACTGTAGACTATGATGAAAATATAGCTGACAACCTGACATACATTGCCCACCCTTCGTATTTTGACATCTTACAGATCGTTTCGTTAATTACATAACATCGTAATATTGCATTTAGAATGTGGGAATCCCCATAGGGTTTCCTGACCTAGATGGCCAGAACGAGGCTGTGACGTCATCTAGGGAAGACAATGGCTGGCAGTAGCGCTTCTACACGCGAAACTTATCATCAAGATTTGAGTAAAATTGAAAGCTGGTCGGAGACGAATGAGTCGTTTTTTGAAGAAGAGGAGGAGGGTATCCTGAGTTTGAACGACGTGGGGCAAGTTTTGCCGCAGGTGAAACCCTACGTTTTGGACCGTAGCGCCGGATGCAAGTACTGAGTAGCAATGCCAGTGCTGCGGAGAGCAGGGAGTGCGTTCGCCGTGAAGACCGACGCAAAACAGATGAAAGGTATGTCCGTTTTTTTCTAAATAACCTCGTGAGATAGTGGTGAATTACTCAGTAATGGGACAATTTTGCTGTGCTCTACATGTACACCATGTGTGTTTTGTTGAACGTGTTTTACTCTACTTTCCGACCAGTAGTATTACAGTGAAATAAGGGGATAGTTCACGTATCATAACAATACATGAACATTCAACACGTACATACCTGATATTTACATGATGTACATTTGTACTAGTACACGACAGAAAAATTAAGTAAAGCAATGTTTATTTGAATTGGGTTTTTATTTATGTCAATTGAAGTGGTCCCAGCAGTTATCCAACACAATTAGCAGCCCACATTCTTTCCAGTATAAATTAATCTAAATTCACTATATTTCTTTATTCACTTTCAAGTGCAAACAGTCATCGAGTTGTGCTTCAAATGTATAACATATACATATATAAATTCTTGACGTACATGTATAAGGTATATAGAAGAAAGGTGCATGCAAATCATGTATTGACCCATTAGAGCCTGCGTCATCAAAACAAACGGCAGCCATACTGGAGGGAGACCGGAATCGTCTGCTGCGCATGAACAAGCCATGTCTGTAGTTCAGTTTTCGTTTTCTGTATTTTTTTTTCATATTTAACCGAGCAAAATGATGAATTACTGCAGGGTATTTGATCGAGAGAAGGTAACTTACTTTACAAGCGTTCACAGACTGCCTGCAGTGGTAAAAATCCATGGTGAAGGAACTAAAACCATAAACGGAGGAGAGACGGCGAGGTGGCTTTGAATCAAGACTCTTCGGAAAAGTAAAGGATAAAACTTATTTATTTTATAGCAAAGAATGAAGAGCCAACTGTGCAGATTTACCATAAAAGAAAACACAGTAGAACACCAAGGACCTAGGTGTGTACGTTTGGGGCGCACGTATATATTTAAAGTAGTGCCCAAAAAGTGTGGATGGAGAGTGTATTAATTTGTTAANATTTTTATTTTCAAATACAGCCCATAAACATTACTGGCAGGGCAGAGTAATTTTATGATCTTTTTTATTTGTATACACATTGAATACATTCACTATTAGATGTTAAAATACCATATTGGCATCCGTTTCTTATGAACATGAATGTACATATTCCTGGTTTATTAACAACACAATAGTGCTCTCCAAATATAAGATATGGGCCTAGTTAAAATATATTTATAACCAAGATTTTTGGAATAAAATTATTTGCCAGGCTTGCTGGTCATTGTGATGTAATGTTGTATTACATGTTGGATTAGTTAAGAAGGGAGACTCTCTGTGGTTGCCAGCAAGTGCTTGGTTATAAAAGTAATTTTAATTTGCAACCATAATTTTGGATCATTTAATTTAATTTAATTACAGGTGCACCTGTGGACATTCCCAAATCCTGCCAGGTGTATCAGAAAATGTCTTCTGTCATGAAGTAGTAGTAGTAGTACAGGACAGAAGCAAAGAGGAGAATGTGCAGTGCATAACTGACCACCCAGGGTTTGAGCCAGTCTGCCTGAACAAGTGGGTACTTGAAACTGCTTGGATGCAGTTCAGGCAGCAACATGGGGGGAAAGCCTTTGGAGGACGAGAGGATCAAAGACTGAGGCACATAGCTTACAGAAAATTTGTCTGCTGGGTTTTGGGGTGGCTGAGGAAGAAGATTAGGGTCACAATGCCCAGTTGTGCAGTTAGCTGCATACGAGCATACTACCCCCCACCTTCAGAAGAAGAAGAGCACTTCACTGGCTTCAAAGACCAGTAAACTTTACATTTCCAATTAATCTGAAAAAAAAGGACATGGTGCATTGGTCATGTTTAAATGAAAAGTGTGCTATTGATACACCAAGAGGCACCAAATGTTAATTTTCAAGAATAATTTCAAAACAAAACTTGAGAAAATGGCACCTTCTAAAAACAAAGTTTTTGTTGACTGTCAGTATACTTATATTACATGTAACAAAGGAAACTGCACTGAGACGCACCTGTAGAGCAGTATACAAAATCTAAGTTTTTTTTTATTTTTGATTACACATGATATCATTATTCATGACCCCAGATTAAATGAACTTGTTTGGGTTTCTTGTGCACAGTTTATCTATCAGCTCCTCTTTATCAACATCTGGTTGCCCTGCATTTACAGATTCAGGGATTCCTTGAGTAAATTGTTGATGTATTTGCCTGGCTTCTGCTTTTTATATGGCAAGGTATTTTGTAATGTCTATGAGTTCTGTTATATAATCTGGAATACAATTAGCAAGAATAAATGTATATATGAATATGTATACATGAGACATGTAAATGAATGCATGCATCTGCAAAAGAAATACTGTTTACCATGTTAAAATAAGTAAATAAAGATAGTAAAATTGATATAAAAAAGAATGAGAAAATGGATATCGCTGTTACTCCTCAACAATTTGCATTAGCAACTGCCAATTTTTCTTCTATTTTTCTTTCTTTCTTCTTTTTTTTTTTTGGGGGGGGGGTCGACTCATGCTTACTAACCTGTTTCTGTCACTGTCGCACTCTTATCTTCTGCAGTATTCTGAGGTTCATCAATTTTCTCCGACATTCTATCTATTTCTAGCACTGAAATATGAACATGACTCTGCCTATGAACTCTGCCTCTTCCCCGACTTGAACCACTCTCTTATGCGGGCCGATAGTGGGCACCGCCCCAGGCGTCAGTCTTGGTAACCTAAAAGCGCAAAAATATATTACAGTCGGTAAATGTAGAAATTGAACAACCACATACCACATTGCTGAAATGCACGACACGCCAGTTTCGGAGTCAGCTGGCTTCCGCTGATCGTTACGGTCAAAGCTTTGGGAGCTTTAGCACAGAAAAATTGCACAAAATAGCCTCAGCATGTTATTAATTAATAACTTGCTCAATACTAGATGAACGCACAATGTACCAAGTACTCATTATCTTATTAAAATGAAAACAAAACGAAAACGCAAAGTTAGTTCATTGAGATCGGCTCTAAACTCCGAAATCACAGACATATCATAAATCCGTCGTGAATCAGGGTAACCGTACTTAAAAAATTTAAAATGTTACAAGTCTCAAACGAAGTTGTAAGATTAAGATAAAAATGATCAAAATTGTGAACTTACTAAGCAAAAGCATGCCGAATCTTCATTTGCTGTCCCTCGTCGAAGCAAGCCTCCTCGAAATGAGCTCTACATATATCGCTGAGTGGTTTGCGATAGCTTCTTTCGCGTCTAACTCCCATACTCTTGTCAAATTTACAAACTTTTTCCACTTCTGGACCACTTCTAGATCTTTTGGAAATTTGTGCATCAAAATACCTTCATTTTCACCAGTGTTCGAGCACCCGCCGACACTACTACGTCTAACCATGTTTACTGTGTCTCAGAACTGACGAGTTATCTAAGCGGGGCCCCGTCTGAGGGGTTCCTCTCATGACGTCACGAATAGTTCGCAGGAAAGCGCTTCACGCTCAATTGACATTGATTGGGGAATTTGTGAGCATTCATTTTAGGTTAATTTGTTTTGATTAACATCGTGTTAGATGTCTGGAACTTAAAATACGGGTAGAAACACCTACCAAGTTGCACTTTAAACACGCATACATCAATAGATAATTTAAACCTTACTTTTCCCTGTCAACCTCAGAAGTATAAGAGTAAGCTGGCAGTTTATTGGCCAGAAATACTCCAACCATCTGCACGCCTGCTGTGTTGGTTTTGCTCTTGGGGTCACGGTCACTGAAGTTGTCATAGATGGTTCTGAAATGAATAAAGATACTGATATGTATTCCGATATCAGTTATACAAATATTTTAAAGTTCTAGTCAACACTGTTACTTCTTTTCTGCCATTCAGAATCTGCTAACATAATAAAAACAAACATAAATGCATGAGTTTTCAATGGTTCTTGTTTGGCGATCAGTCAAAGCACAGATTTTATTAAGTGCATCAGGTTTTTAAGACTTCAAAAACACAAGGGATATAATTTACTTCAAATCATCTGCCACAGCATTTCATATGATTGGACTTTTTGAAATTCATCCCATACTGAGTTTTTATAAAGAAGGAGAAACTGTTTACTTTGTTGGCATATCAAATCTGCCCTTCCAGCACTCCACCAAGGTTTTCAGAAGCTCAAGGTTTCTTCTGAATATCTGCCTGGTGTCATGGTTAACATTCCTCACTACAAACTCAACAAGCCGGCTTGCCATAGCCCTGTCAATTGCAGTGTCCTAGAATTACATACATATAATTTACCCTTGCATACACATGGTGGATGTGTGCTCATATCCCATGTGTGAGTCATATTTTAGACCATTCACATTTTTTATAATCAACAAGTATATAATTATTCAGGTCATCATGGTCTAACCCCAATCTTCACCTTTCTTACCTGTGGTACAGCCACACTAGACCAGGATAATACAGTGACCATAATATCCACAACAAAATAGTTCAGGCCTTCATCCGGCATATCCCTCACTATCAGCTGGACCAGTGGACCCAGCCAAAACTTTGCATATGGTGCAAATACCTATAATAAATCATGTGAAAATTGGCCATAGATTAAAACAACAGGTGAATGGGATTTAAAGAGAAAAATTCATATCCCGAAGCATAGGCAGGCATAGATTACTGAAAAAAAATGTTGACAGTCACATTGTTAGAATCTAGAATATTGTGTCATAGTATAAATTAGTATTTTCTCCAGAAATAAACAATTACCAGTTTAAAAATCATACTATTTCACACAGCAAAATTAAATTCTAGCTTTAGCAAATACTTTGCAACACATCTGATATTTGGGATAGAAAATTAAAAGAAAAATTAATTTTTTTTTTTAATTGCTTACTTTTTCTGCATTGAGAATCAACTTTGCAATGAACAGTTTGACATTAATGTGTGTGGTGGTAGAGTTCATCTTGTCACGCAGATACTTCATCCAGGGAGGTACATCTGGAGGACTGGACACCTGCAGTGGATGTAGAGAAAGGGTTACAAAAACAAGAGGACAAAACACAAAGTTGCCAACTCTTTGCAATTCCTCATATTATGTGCATTTAAAGCACTGTTTTTAAGGGATTTAAAGTTTTTGATATTATCTTAATTTATCATATAATAATTATTTATGAACCTACCACATCTGGTGTGATCTTGTTCCTTTGCATGTGTTTCAGCAATGCAGTCATGGCAGTCATACATTCATGTTGATTCAGCTCATCCATTTCTATCTCTTCATAGTCTGCTTCTGCAGGCACTGCTGCTTCCTGCAGGTACACAACTAGGTCATTTTTATGTCAAGGAAAACAAGTTCTGTAACTGACTAATAAAATAATGTAAAAGGGTCATATATATATATATAATAATAAACATGGTTAGTTGGTCAGACTATTTGAGGCTGACAATTCATTTTTAATAAAAAAAAATACACTATATGTCAGGATTATATAATTTGTACTTCAGGAAAAAGTATGACAATGCTCTTTTGACACCACTTACTTTGAAAAAAAAGAGACAGACAGACACAGATCTTTGAACAATCCCATATACGTGGGAGAGTGATCACATACATACCTCAGATACTGCCCTCTGTCTTGTTCTAGGTGGCACAGGCTCACTCCTCTCCCCCTGAAAAACAAGGCAAAAAATGGAGAATCACAAATTTTTAGGCTTTTTAATATATTATTATAAATGGATTAGTACATAATATATAAATCAGTGCACAACATAACCGATTTCAAACTGGAGAAGCATAAGTCCACCATACAACATTAGCATCCTTAAATGGAGTAACAAAAAAGAAACACTATAAATCAATAAATTGTAAAAATACATAATAGAAAAGACTTACCTGTAATGATCCAGAGTAGTCATAAGCAGAGACGTCCTCACTGAGACTACTGTCAGCAAGGTACTGGGAGGCCAGGTAATGGACAGAAGACTCTGGGGAATCCTGGGAATTCCCATCCCCCTGGGCTCCTGCTTCACTTCTGATTGACACAAACCTCTTCTTGCGCTGTGGCAAAGACTGATAACAGGGAAAATGATAACTTTTTCACAATCTTTTTCTGTCAACAGAGATACCAGCATCAAAACTAAAGTACATAAAATATAACTGATATAATTTTGACTTGAATTAATTCTTCTACATACTTCACAGTTGTGCGTACTTACCGTAATCTCTATTTCAAATAAGTACTTTCTGTTTTGGTCCACTATGTTGTCCAAAAGAAAATCACCCTGAAAAAATCATTCAAAAGACTCAATCACAAAGAATGTATATAACCAGTTACTGAATATGAGATACATACAAATATCAAAAATACAAAATCTGACAAAAGACTCAGGCAAATAGTTTAAACATGGTTAAATATCATAATAAATATCATAATAAACAACAAAGCATCACAATAAATGGCAAATTAAAAATGAAAAAAAATGCATGTACTTTGTATATCATTCAGTTTAGCCACATGTACATTATTCTGTGTGTGCCTTTTTTTGTAGAATTTGAATTTATTTGACAACATTTAATACGCCAGGAATACCTTAGCAAGATCCTCTTTGAAGAGAAGTCCAGTGTAAAACTTCATTTCAGTCTGAGTGCAGGTGATAATGGCCATGAGAGCATTGTAAGCTGCACAGTGGTACTGTCTCCTCAGTTCAGGAAGCCTCTTTTCTCCTCTCACATCCTCCTTTTTAGCCTCATGTGCTGCCCTGATGGGAAAAAACTAACACTGGTGTCCAATATCCCTTGACCAAAGAGAAGTATAATAAAACTTAAGAAATTAAATACTTAATTATACCATTATAGCTTACTTGGTAACTGCTGTTGTCATCTCCTTCCCAGTTTCAACCTTTCCACCACAATATTTCAGATTGATCTTTGAATTTTTGCTGTTCACCTCCTCTTTGGGGAAGCTGGAGTACATGACTTCCACCAGTTCAAAGCAGCAAAGTTTTAATGTGAGCTGTCTTTCTATTTCACTCTCTGAACTCTGAAAAAGAGGACATCTTTATGAAAGGTAGTTATGTGTGCCAGCAGTGTAAATGGCAATTTACAATTGAGAAAATAGTCATTTTTCTGTCTTCTATCTACATACTTACTACATGTTTGGTGGGTTAGCAAAGTGTGTTTTTGTGCGTGCGTGCGTGCATGTGTGTGTGCAAGCATAGGTGTGTGCACGCATGGTGCATGTTTGCATTTGTAAGCAAGAAATAGAGAAAAGGAATAATTTAATTTAAATTTGTTTAATATTTTTCAGATGTTTTCACAGAACACTTCTCTAGCCTACCTTGGACAGTTTTGCACTCAGAGTATCTGTGATGAATTTGATGTGGTCCACATAGAACTCACTAAGAGAAGACTGGTGACACAATCTCAACAGTGGTACACACACACGGCTTAATGTTGAACGACGGATTTCATTGGGAAATAAACCTTCTTTGGTAAATATATTGAAGGGAACATCTAGAGCAGCCTTCTGATGGCCTGTAGGAAGCCTGCAATGAGAAATATAATAAATGCTAAAGTAATTTTAACTAAATCTTATCAAAATTTCATAAATAACAGGAAATTCTTTGAAAATTCATAAAACACTTGTAATTTCTAAAAACCAAGATAAATGGGAAGATAAGGACAGGTTTAAGAGTATTACAAAACTGGATTTCTACTAAAGTCAACTGAAATTGATGATATGCTTTTCAAATACTTCTTGTAAAATTTTCAGTAAGGATGGAAGACTGTCAATCAAGATGAACAACTGACATCCTTGACATAAAGTTGCTGGGATATCATTTAAAAAATTTCACCAAATGGAAAACAAAAACATGAAACCTCTTAGCAGCCATACTTAAACCAAGTTCTTTTATTCCTTTTACCTTCTGATGAAAGTCACAAGCGACTCTTGCATTCTGTCTTCATAGACATGATTCTTTTCCCTGCACATAATGCTGATCAATAGCTCCAACAACATCAGACTGCCTGATAGCTCCAGTGCAGATAAAATCTGCAAAAATACATTTTCTTTACTATATCTGTGACAAATAAAAAAGATGTTTAATCATCACTTACCTAAAACTAATATCTATAGTAAATATTTTGGTTTGAATGTACAGGTACCAAATTAAAACATGATTTCAAAATTAAAATTTCAACCTTTTCAAATACCCAGCTTTATTATTCACCAAATTTGAACCTAACAATACATGGTGGTTTTACATTTGGGTGCATTGACTCCAGAGCTTTTGAAAGAGCTGAAGTCAGGTGCACAATAACAGGTACCCAAACTGGCCCAATGTGACTGAAAGATCTTGAATTACTTTGCTCAGAGCCATGATATATTCTTGATATTTGGGGCTGCCCACTGCATATTCAGAACTCCTCAGAGGGAAGTGGTCTGCAACGATTCTGTCCAAACAAGCTCTGCAGAAGTGAAAAATTAATTTATTACATTAGAAGCTTTTTTACAGTTGGTAAACACAAATACTTAAACCAAAGCTATCAAACTTTAAAATCTTTTCATAGATGATAACCAGATAATAATGCTTTCGAAAATTTATGAATTTCAAAATAATTGTTTTATCACTATCATTGATTATTTAGTGCATAAATTCCTGGTCATATTTTTGTAAAAATTGTGTAAGAATCACAGTAAAGTTCACAAACATACACTACAAAGGAGTTTTAAGAATTCTCTGGGCAATAGAAATATCCAATACAATGTAATATGAGTTTTTAAATCAAGAGTTACAACTATTAAATCATTTCAACACGAAAGATTAACACTTCATAAAATAATAAATGTCAGATGATGATGATTATTATTATTATTATTAAGCACTTACTTGAGTTGCTGTGTTTCTTTTTCTGGCAATTTGGCAAAGAACACAAGAAGATCAAGGACTTTGCACTGAAACAGTAAGAAGAGATCCATTCTTTTTCATATTTCAAAGAATAAGAAAATTAGAATTTCAGGGAAATTTAACAGAGCCTTTTGCACAGTGTGTCTTCAAAAAGAAAGTCAGAATTTTCATCAAAACCACTTTCATTTTTAATTATAAAAAATTAATTTTTCAAAACTGGCTTTGGAATGTTGTGACTTAGCAAAAACTGAACAACGCATGTCTTTGGATAGGCTTTAGCTTACTTCTCTAACAGAACAGTGGACATGAATTTCTTATCAATTTAATACAACTTACCTTAAAAAGCAGTGAGCTCTTGGTGTCAGTTAGCATACTCTGGTACATGGAGAACACACAGGAGAAAGATGGGTGTGTGGGATCTGAGACTACCTTGAGTTGGTGAAAAATAATATAACTGAATCATTTATTTTGGTTATTTATTTATTTATTTATTTATTTATTTATTTATTTATTTATTTATTTATTTTTGTTAAATTAATTATCAAATATATACAAACAACTCAAATAATCTTATAATCCAAATTTTGACTTTCTTCTTTGATAAAAGTTCCCCCTCATGGTTTCTTAGTTAGTGTTTAACAAAAATAAATAATAAATAATAATTATAATATAATGTAAACTCACAGCAACCAATTTTCAGTTAAAAAACAAACACTAGATACAGATTCCAAGCATACTGGTATTTGCACAATTAAAACAAAGCATAGTAGCTGACATTATTGTTTCTGATTGTTGCACCAATAAATGAATCAGCCTAACAGACAGATAGTCAAAACCTTGTAGAGCTTGTGCAGAGATTTCACTTGTGTTTAGCTCTTTACACTTGTGTTATAATTCTTTTATACCTTGCCATTGATTAGAAGCATCTTTCTCAGCAAGTTCAGTGCAGACATTTTGACTTCCTGTGGACTGTCAGGGGCCCACCATTGCTGTAACTGTAACTGTGACCAGCAAGACAGTACCACATCCACCACAGTCTTGCCTTCTCTGTAATTATATATAAATTCATCTTGATAGAAATTTCGTGAAATCACATTCTCATCATCTTTGTAAAGCAGCATGTTTATAAGTAATTTTGAAATTATTTCCATGACACAAAACATAAAAAACATTTAGACAAAAAAAAAATTCTGAATGAATTGAAAAAGAGGCATTCAAATTGGGCATTTGATTAGAATGATGAGTTTTCTACCCAAATACTTTGCCTTTAAAAATGCCACTCTTGACTCTCTGACTTACCCCCCTCTAAGCTGCCTGTCCCTGCTAATTTGTTCCAACAAACTGGACAGGACACTGGACACAACACTGGACTCTTTGGATGCATAGTTTACCAACTCTGGGATGAAATATTTGGCTTCTTTCATCAGATACAAATTAATGGTACTTTGAAACATTGCATAGAAATTCTGTGAACTGTTTTGATTTTTGGTTTTGGTCTTGCTCAATATGGCACCAAGAATCTGGGCTGGCTGCAAGAGGGAAATGAAAACTACAAATATCACGTAAAAGGTGTGTGGTCAAATGGAAAATATATATCGATAGTTACTTTATTTTAGTCAATAACAACATATTCTGATTTTATATAGAATATAATTCAAACTTGAAAAGAACTTAAAGTTAATATCCTGATTTGTACATAAATTCATCATGAAACTGGGTCAACGTATCATCCATGTATATTCTAACCTTATCTGTCATGCTACAAGCAAGCTCCAACAGCTTCCTGGACAGCTCCAGTGTGGAAGGGCTACATTCCAGCAACCTGAACTGATCCTCTTCTGAAACTGCCTGTCATTGAATAATTAATACACGAGCATTTAAATTTAGATCCACTTGCACATGCAGCCATTTGCATATTTCTGCCCATTCAAGTATAAATAATATTTTCTCTTGAAAACTTTCATCATAAATTATGATTGAGAATAATCATTTAAACCAATAAAGGAACACACATTACCTGAAACAAAGTCTGTAATAAATTGTTTGAAACATTTTCTGCTGAATGTCCTCCATCTTTAAGAGCTGGCAGAAGAAAATCTGTCTTGTGCAACAGCTGATATCCTGCCACCAGGTGGCTATCTGTCATGTGGTCTTCACTTGGACCAGACAGTATGTGTGGCAATTTCTTCAGAAGGTTGTAAGAGCTGGACAAATGGATAATTACAATTATTTGATATGTTCTGGATCTGTATTTGTTACTACTGTAAAAAAAAAACACATTTACCAAGACTAATGACAACAAGAGACCTACTAGTGCAATCAACTACATTAGAGCTGATGATGAGAATTTGGTTTACTCACCCCGAGTCTAATTTAGACTTCAAAGTCCTCCTAAACATGTCTAATGCCTTGGGAGGAAGGTAGCGGCTGAATATTCTCAGAACCTGTTCCATCTTCAATAAATATAGATATTTTTAGATTTAATATACAAGAAGTAAATAATTTTTCTTAAGTGTAAATCTACTACAAATGAGAGGCCCAGAACCAGTTCAAATTAAATTAAGTTTTAAAATTTATAGTATTAAGTCACTGCAAGAGTAAATGAAAATTAAAAACTCATGAAATTTGTTGGCATAATGAAAAAAGAGAAGACATTTTTATGGAAATGCTTCATCTTATGACAACAATTTTTTTTCATTTTGTATATGCTAACTTTTTCTCATACAAATAATTAAAAAGTTATTGACAAGTCTAACAATGATACAGTTAATCTACAAGCTATAAGAGCTATGAATGTGACTGACCTGTTCTGGCAATTTCATCATCACCTCCACATCCCCCATGTTGAACCCCAGAGCACTTGGATTCAATACACAGTCACAGATCAATATCCAAAGGTCTGGGCACCATATGTTACTGGGAACCACCTGTGAGAAAAGAACCACACTATTTAATTCAACATTTCATTTCAACAATTTTAAAGATCACATTGAAAATAAACAGGCAGGTCAACCTACAAATATGGATTATGCCCACTTCCAAAAATACAAGGGATGAGAAAAGCAGGGAACAATAATTGTTAAATTCATGATAATCTATTTCATAGTCAGTGAGGAGTTAATATTATATACATATAACCTTAAGATTTCTAAATCCATTTAAAGATATTTCTTATTCCTGTAGATAGGGTAAAAGGTTAAAAAATAGCTTTGATTGCCTATTTCACAAACCTGTTCCAAATGACTCCCAGATTTTGAGATGGTGCTACACAGGAAATCCAACAAATGGACTATCACTGTACATTTAGACCTGAAATGAATATCATAAAATCAAGTGTCTGTGATAAATGTATGATATTTTCAACAAATCACAGTGAATGAGTGAAGTAGAGATCCCTCAATGCAATACAAAAACCCACCAAAAAAATACAAAACAAGATATTTTACAGAACTATTTGAAAAAGCACTTTCCTGAAGAGAACATTGCAAATGAGAGAAGGGAGGTAGTTGCCAGAGACAAAGTCTACATGTTTTGTTCATGTACAAAATTTTAAAAAATTCTAGGTATTTTTAAATACTTAAACATTTTTTGTCATCTTTATGGGATCAGTTCAGTTACTGTACCTATTGTACTCCTCTACTTCCCATGGTGTAAAAATTTTTCTGTCCAATCCTTTGGTAAACAAGTCTGCAGCCGCCTCTATGTCCTTCAAGGCCAGACTGGAGAGGAAATGACTTAGCACAAGGTAAATACAGGACGAATGCCCACCTGTAGAAAGCCAATGACAACATATTCTACTCAATTTGAATAATATGTAAATGTTGGTTATGATAAATTTATACAATTAGTTACTGCAAAATCATGCTGATAATGTGTATTTACACAAGGTAATATGTACATTTTTGTGTCAAGGTAATATGTACATTTTTGTGTCAAGGTAATATGTACATTTTTGTGTCAAGGTAATATGTACATTTTTGAGTCATGGTGAAATGTTTCTAATAAGCACACTATAACAACAATTACTGACTAAATTGATGATTAAACTTGTAAAAGAAAATGAACCAGGACAGGAACAATAGGATATACTATTGCAGTGAATAGCATAGCCATGTAATGACCATGCACACAAAATAGCGGCAACCTACCTGTGAAAACATCTTCTGGTCTCAGTAGGTTAGTATCAAAGGTCCATTTGTAGCATTCCAGGGCAGCCAGCACCATGTCATACCAGAGAACTGCATTCTTCACTGTAAACTGCTCCCCTATATCTCCCAGTGTATGGCACATCTTCAGGGTAAACCTGGTCCCTCCTAATCTGTAAGCTTCAAACCTGAAATAATATATTATTCAAAACGAATAGTACATAGTTTGTTAAGTAAGTGTATCATCTACTAGGATATAACATTACAAGTCTTTAGTATAAAGCATATATATAAATCAAATCTATCTAAAATTACTGGGTTGCTTCACAATAAGGTATTTGAAATACTTTAGGTTTTGTATAGGAGTCGCTGTGAAATCTTTTAATCTGTGAAGTCAGATTCACAATTTTGGGATTAAGTCACAACAGTTATGAACAACAAAGATCAGCTCACTCCACTAGATGTCAGATGGTAAGGAGATTCTATACAATACAATTCTACCTCTCCATAAAGTACTGGGGTCCACCACTTTCCATTTTCAAAAACTTTTGGAAAAAACCTTGGACGCTCTGAAATTCTGAAAAAGATCATTTAAATATTTTTTAAAATATTATTTTGATTTTACAAATTTTCAGGTTATTTGGATTCAACATAAACAATCCTAAATTTTAAACACCACAATACAAATGAAATAAATACTTGCCTACAAATTCATATTTCTACAACAAAATGTCAGGGTGCCACCTGAACCATTACTTTAAGACCAAAAGTTGATCCTAAATTAAAAGCAAAAAAAATTCAAATTGCCTTCTTTGATGTAAAATGAATCAGCAGTTGCAGTAATCCACTAAAATAAAAAAAAACAACAAAAATTTAAACCAACAAATATTTCATTTCAGTTGACTAGCTACAGAGTTTATCCTCAATTTTTGGTCATAAAATAAGACCGACTTTTGATCTCAATTTCTTTAAAAAATCAAAACCCTAGTCCATTATGCCATATAAGTGACATCTAGTTTGTCAGTCTTTCATTAATATTACCTGGGACACAGGGAGCCAGCTTGTACACCAGCATCATAGAAGAGTGCCTGCATTCTGTTTGTGGTCGTCCACATTGCCTCAGCAACCAGCGCACACAAATATCTAAAGTAGCTTTGTTCCAGGTTCTAAAAAAAATCATCAAATACAGAAGGACAGAATCAAATTCTACTTCAAATTCTACTCATTTGAAATCTATAGCCAAAATCCAAAATGACAAATTAAAAATTTCATTAGATTCAAAATAGCACTTTTATTGAGAAGATTATATACATACTTGGGTTTTCTCCTGATTTTACTGTCTTTGCAGAGTAGAGCTGCTTTGTTCACTATGATTCTTTCAAGGTGGTTCAACACTTGGACACCCTGTTCTTGTGTTCCTAAAGACTTGTCGTCATGGTGTGCCATGGCCAAACTCTCAATGAAAGTCTCTAGGATTTCAAAGGTGAAGATGTCAAGAAGCACCTCATCTTCTCTAAAAGAGAAAGGATAATATGTTGAATCAAATATATTAATGACATATCAAACATATAACAAATGCATATTGACTAACTGCCAAGAATGAGAATATTTTTAATAGGTATGATATAAGTATAATTTTTTGCTTAATGGAAGTTTTATCTTTTAAGATAAAACTTCCATTAAGCAAAAAATTGTTAAAACAAGACAATGGATAAAAGTATGCTTTCCTCCAAAATACTACTTTTGTATATAACCACTTTTGACCTGAAAAACTACTATTAGGACAGAAAAACTGAGTGCAGAAAGAAATTTTACAAATTTCTTTAACATTGACCGAATGTAAATGGTCCAATTCTCAATTAATTCAAAAGTATTGAGCATACATGGTATCTTTCATGAAGGTGTCTCACCTGAACACTCTGTAGATGTGGTTGAAGGCCAATGCTGCCCCAAGTCTCCTGAATGGACTAGGGTGCAGAGCAAAACTGTAGATACGCTTGAAGATAGACTTAGGAATGTGAGGGTTTTTACGCAGTTGCTGAAAAAAAAAAAGAAAAATTATTCTAATAGCGTGAACTTGGGAATATCAGGTTTTTTTACTCAGTTACTAAAAAGAAAAAAAATCAAATAATCTTTCTTGCACTATAAAGTCCATGTTAAAGTGGCACACATTAATCTTTCATATTAACAAAATTATCTTCATGCTTTTATTGAACATAACATACAACACTATCTTGACATGCAGAGACTTGACATAATTTCTCAATTTTTTCCTTTCTGTGATGGAATAGCATTTTATAATCAATGGACTGAATCTTTTTACAAATTCAATATAATGAAGTAATCTTTCCCTCTTTTCTTAAATGTCATTTTAGTATTTTGAAAACTTACAGCAGGTGATGTTTGTTTCAATGCCCATTTGAGGAATTCTTCAATACATCTGGCACAGAAATCTCTCAGAGATGCATTGCTGGGATCAATAAGCCCCTCCTGAAAACAGAAATGGATTTCAAAAAGGTATAGTTTCCCCAATCAACACATGTAATCTCATTCCCGTAAAGTGTTTTGACAGACATCATGAGAAAATATTGGAAAACAATAACTCTGATTTCAGCTGATTATTGATAAGTGTGATAAGCAAAGCTCCTAAAATTATCAATTAATAGCAAAATTTATGTAGAATTTGATGGTTCATTACCATCTTGTAACACATTTCAACGGAATGAAATTTTATGCACAGTTTGTAAAACGTTAGAAAGTTCCCAGCCCTGGAAGCCTTCCAGATGCTAGTATTTAATGCACACTAAAATCAGGGCATTCAACACCGCACCTGGGTCACATTTCATGTTCACTTTTAGAGCAAGGAAAGCAGAAATGTTTAGTTATTAGGAGCACATATCAGTTAAACTGTACTTGGAGTCTTCTTATATACAAAGATAAAATGTCAGGACTTAACTATTTACTCAAAACAAATTAATACTAGATTTAGCCTTATTACTGTGCTCCTGGTTAGGGATTCTGCCCCCCTTGCTTTAAAGCAGTTTTCATTTCATTTAAAATTAGTTTTTCATTTATGAGTTGTTCACTTACCATGACAGCATTAAGCAAAGCTGCTGTTTCTGGATTTTCAAAGACTTTGCTTCTTGTAAACCAGTGAATGAGTTGCATGGTGAGTGGTTCAAACAGCTGCCTAGCAACCTGCAAGTCGACAACGAGTGATATACTGAGATTCATCTTATATGCCTCAATTATCAACAGTTTACAGAAATCAAGTATAAAGGAAAACTATCCCCAACATATTAAGAAAACACAAATCAGCAATGGCATTCTTTTCAACAGAATGAACATTCATTTTTTTCTCACCAGTTCCACATCACAAGCTAGTTGCAGCATAGCAGGAAAGACATTCCTATACAGTCCATCTAGAGGATGACGGCCTTGCTGACCCTCTGGTTGCTGGACACTGCGACCAAGCATGTACAACACCATCGAGTGGAACAGCTCACAGGCGGCTACTTTGGTCTGGCGGTCACTGGACAGAGTGGCCAGCTCAACCACCCGTGGCAAAAAGGGATCTGCAATGATAAATAGAGGTTTAAACTAACAGAGCAATATATCACAAAATGACTATTTCAAACTGACTATTTCATATCTATTTTACAGTTTGTTGAAAAAAGGTTTTGTCACAAAAACCTGCAAAAGAGAAACATCAGAGAGTTATATAAAGTGGTTGATTTTGATACAAGAACGTACCTAGGTACAATGCTGCTTTTACATCCATGAATGGCATATCAAATTTGAGGTGTTTCTCTTGGTCCCAGGCTACAGCTATTTTGGCAATGTCCTCAGATGTACACTGAACCATGGCAGCATTGGTGGCACCACCTAAGTTCCCTAGAAACTTCACTATTCTCTGCTTCAGCAATTCTAACTGGGAACTTTCTTCCTGAAATATCATGGTTATGTCTTATATGATTCCTTCTAAACAATTAATTCATACAGAACCCTCAATCTCCATGAAACATAACAGCAAAATGCTGTCTTTTTTATAAACAATTAAGCAATATATTATCTGTTTATATACTAAACCTGCTCATTTCTGAAGTATGTTAGCACAACCCATACATTGATTTTAATTTAAGATTATGGAATATAAAGAAGACAAATACTAAGTATTGCCAATGTTATGATGACAATCATAAAATATTTCTAAGACAACTCATTTTTGTGAATATTCTGCACATAATTATAAAAAAAGTTTGCTGGCCAATACTTCTTTCTTCAACAGCCTGACAATGATGTTAGAAATCAAGATATATATCATGAAAAAATCTGACTAACAATAAAACCACCTATTAACAAAAACAAAACAGAAAATGCATGTTCTTCGAAGTCAATTTTTAATGCAGGGAATGTGAAAATGAACCTGCTACCTTTGCAACTGCTGGCTTCAATAACTTTATAGGCAAGCCTTTCTTTCTGCTATAGCTATGGCCCTTTGGTTCCATGATTAGTGTTGAGGGGGAATTCGTTTCATTTCCAGCTGAAATGTAAAAATACATAGATAAAAATCATATAATAAAAATAATATCCAAAGATTTCTTAAATCTCACATTGATATGCTGTTCAATACACAGACTTATTTGTTACAACACACATACACACACACCTTGTTCAGACTGTAACTTGAGAAAGTCATCCAGACAGGGCAGGATGTCCTGGTAATGTGGCTGCAACAGGTGGTTAGGGATGCTGTCCCTCCAGAACTCAATGGCCTCCATCCCTTCTACAGCAAGAGGCTGGTAACTGAGCCCCAGCTTGAAGGTGATCTAAAGAGCATGGCAGAGGCAGCGAGTGAAAAAACTGCATGGGTACCAAAAAATAATACTAATATAACATATATAAACAAAAAATAATACTAATATAAAGTCAACAAAAAGCTTATTTCATTATCCTATTCACAGCAGTCAAAAGGTGGTTGGAAAAAACTGTCAAGATGGTGAAAAGGTCACAAAGACAGCAACAATTTTTTTTTTGCAATTTAGAAATGAGTAAAATTTAAAATGAGACTTGTCACTATAAATAAAACACCTGGGTTTTTACCTTCAGTGCTGGTACAATGGTGGGAAGATCTGCTATTACCAGCTCTGGAGGCAGGGCCAGAATGAAAGACAAACAGGAGGCCAGCAGGTCATCCTTGTACTGCTTTATTCTCACTAGAACCTGCAAATTGTAGCAGTTTGATGTATTAAAATTAAAATATATTTCACCTTTTTGTACCTGATAAAAAACCTGGTAGTTATTTCATTGGAAAACAATGTGAATTAAAATAGAGAATATATCACAAATGAAATTAGTGAAATATATTACAATTAAATCTACAATTTTTAACACAAATTGATTATTCATAAACAGATGGAAAATATGTAGCAAAATAGTGAATACAACCAACTGACATGTAACATGAATAACCTCTTTAGTAAATTTTGAAAAAAGCAAAAAAGCTGTCTCTCTATCAGTCCCTATTTTTTCTTCTACAATCATAGAGTTCTCTCCTCCATCTTGATCCCTGCTCAGGCTGATGTCCTGTCAAAGAAAAATACTGGAGAATACTAACGTAAATATAACATGCTTCCCAAATAAATTAATATTAAAACATAAACTTTTAAAAATATAAAGAGAGCTATAATTTATTTTTTCAGAGTATACAGAATAAAGGATCATTTTTAAACAAAAGGATCTTAAGAGAGAGGAATGCAGCGCTTCTCCATATATGTACCACCAGCCAAAATGGCAAACAAGTATAGAAATCTCGTTATGACTACGAGCCTGCTGGTAGGCAACACTATGACATTATTTGTAAAGTAAAACATCTGGTTTTCCATTTCATAATTGGACCTGAATAAATCTGATGTGCTGAAAAGATATTTACCTTAAAGTATGCCGTTTTTCGAGTAGCATGCATACAAATAGCCAGCAACTTGTAGAAGCCACTGACGAGAGGATACCTAAGAAAGTTTATCATCATACAAGTAGGAATCTGGTATGTGAGATGAACATTTTTGAAATATGTTTTCTATTCAAATAAACATTTCAGTCATTTAAATGACAACCAAAATGCAGTGCAATTTTATCCAAAATATTGAACAAGATGGACAGTACTTATGTACACAGAATAGTAAAAATATCTTAGCCATTAAAAATCATGAAAAGGACACAAGAAAACCCCTTACTGTCATGACATTCAACTTTCTTTCGTGCAAATTCAGAATAAGATAAAAAGTTCAGTGTTACTGAGGCTATCTAATTTAAAGGTAATTAAATTTCAGGAGAAACACAGATATAAACAAGTACTAACTTCGTTGACATCACAATGAGTTGATGTCCAAAAGTGAAAACCCATCTTTTAAACAAGGCACAGTACTGGTCTGTGTGGAGGTCTCTGAAATGTTTAACACAGATATATACCTAGTTTGTATACACATAAATTTCCATGATTCTATTTCTGAGTTAACAACATCACAAGCAAAAATATTACATCATTGCTCACACCACCCACTAAGTGAACCAGCACTGGTAGCAAAAACCCAATGAATAGGGCAAAACATCCATCTTTATAACAACACTGTATATTCAGCAGTAGAATAACAAAAATTTGAACAATCTACATTAACATATGTTCAACAAAGAAATTTCAGCTACTGATAACTGAAAATATGTTGGCTACATTTAAAATACACTTAACCAACAATATTGGACTGGTCCAATGTTAGCAATAAAAGGATATTTATTAAAAAGGTGCACCAAAGTAAAGTAAAAGTAAATTTAAAGTAAAAGTTATTCTTGATAAGAATGACTTTTATGGTTACCAAAAGTCATTATTTTGGCTTTCACATTGATACTGTAATAACTTTTTTAAAATGCAAATTCATTCAAATTATAATTATATCTTTTAGAGATGTTATAATAAACTAAATCAAGATTCAACTTATGACATGAAGTGGCTGTGGTGTTTAAATAACTAAAAAGATTTCAATCTTACCTGCTAAAATCAACTAGATTGATAAAGACTTGAAAATCTTTGGGTTTTGAAGCCTGAAGGCCAGATACAGGGTCAGAAGAAGCTAAAAATGGTGTTACTGGACGACCTTTATCAGCAGTGCCAGCACTGTCACCCTGAAAAGTGTTCAATCTAGAGCTAAAAACATGCATGTAATTTACCTTAAACTCAACAAATGAATGGATGAGCAATACTTGAACCAAAAGATTTCTATCATCTTTAGAATACTTTAAAACCATTAACCTGTTGAACTTCTCACAAAAATATCCTTCAAATATGTTTTATCAGTTCTTTTCATTGAGAATAGGTTGAGCCAAATATATTTTTTATTAATTGCTTTTTCATTTTCTGTACAAATATTGCTTCATGGATAGTTATTCAATGACCTTAAAAGGAAGTTAATTGTCTCTGAGACATAACAACTACATGTAATAAGAAAAATTCAAGACAACAAAAAAAAACTACAATCAATCCCTTTAAAATTCCATTCTAATATATGAAAAGATTTCTTTAATTGGTTTTCCAACCGCAACTAAAATTCTATGTCTGATTCCGGAACTGTCAGTTACCAATTTGGTGCCATTAAGAAAAAGTGATTTTATGAAAAATCCTTCTGCATACAAGATTTATCAAATAATTTATTAAGGGGATATCATAGAAAAGCAAATGTTTGCTACCTGGTCTGTATCCTCACTCCCCCTGACTGAAGTCAAATCCAATTTGCTTAGAATCTTCAATGTAGATCTGACCAGTTCATCATAGATTGCTTGAGTCAAGGCAGATTTCTCCTCAGGGGTAAGTTTTGAGTGAACCTACAATATACAAAAAGACATTTTATTTCAAGCATGGCAGTGTGCTCCTTTAGAAATATTCAGAACTATGGATCTACATTTTCATAAGCAGAAAATGTAACAAAACCAAGAGTTGCCAATACAAAATATTTTTAATTTTTCAACACAGTGGGGCAAAAATAAAAACATGCTGTGATGCTTTAAGGTACAAAAGCTTATATCAATTATATCAATTATATCAATTATATCAATTAAAATAAATTTCTCCTGCTCTGGGTGCAACAGATATGTTATGGAGATTAAAGTTGCACCCCCTCCCCCAACAAACAATAATAAAAAATAACACACTTTTAAATGTGAACTCCCTAACAGCATATTCCAAAAATCAAGATGGTCCTTGTAGGTTATCTTTTTTTCTGATTCCATCTGCATCTCCATGTCCACTTCTGCCTCTAATTCACCCAAATCTGTGGCCACTGGGTGCGAACATGTCCTAATTAAGCCTTGATAAACTGAAATTAATGAATTAATGAATTTATTCAGTTATTTATTTAAGAAAATATAAGCAGAATGATAGGGGAATTTGTAAGTTGCTACTAGATCACTCTCACAATGAGTTAATTAATAAGCTTAATCAAAATCAAAACAAGCACATACACTAACATGGATACTCATAATTTGTAGATACGCTTAACGTTTATGTTACTCTAATATTTGTCTTACTTTATGTTTTCAAACATATTGTTCATAATCATTATTTCTGCGGTGCATTTGCTTACAATAAAATTATTATTCTTCTTATTATTCATAACAGAATTTGCTTCTTTTAGAATGCATTTGATAAAGTTTGAAGAGCAAACAAATATATCAAAACACAAACTAATACTACAGCACGACTCTTCACAGATCATTTGCAATACGCCAAAGAAATGACAACAAAAGTCTTAAAATGTCTTCAAACCCACCTACTCTTCCAAGAAATATTCTCAGAGTTGGTCCTTTAGAAATGAGTGCATGGAAGATTCCAAGAATGGACTGGACAGCATCAAGTTTCCTCTTTTTGTATAAACTAGGAAAATGTTCTGTCAGACATACAACCAGTTTCTCCAAAGAAACAAGGAAAGTATCCGAAACCTAAATGCACAAAGAAAAATGACACATTTCATATGTATTATTTCTATATCATATATTTCTCATCCCACTGTAAAATATTACAGAGACAAAACAGATGAGAGGACAACAACAACAACATTTTAATATTAATATTAAAATATTCAAAAACTACTGATTAAAATTAACTATCAATTAATATTAAAAATAAAATATTCAAAACTATTGATTAAAATGGTTCTGAAAGATGAGGGTGCTTTCTTTATCTTTTCTGAAGCATATAACTGTGAAACTAACCTCCTCCATTTGTTCAACAATTCTGGCCAAGGACTCTATGAAACTGGGAAGATTGTACACATTGTCCACTTTCAATTCATTTTTGCTGTAAAACAAATATCAAAATACTGAGCTGAAGCCATAAGCTCTTAAAAACACATAAAGGCATACAATGCACATTCATACAGCAAAAATACAATTGATATTCCTAGAAATGCTAACTTTTGTAACCAAGGTACACAATATTCATAACTGTTAAGAAAAGTACAATCTATGAAGCTCTTTTTGAGTTCTAAATTTAAAAAAAAATGCCATCATGAATGAAATTCATCAGTCCCTACTTCCATTACAAGAGAGATGTATAAATGTCTTATGCACACCAATTGTATGTTTTTATTTTTTGCATAGCAAAAACAAACATGTCTGTAGATTTTAAAACACTGGTTAATCTCATAAACAAGATTGCAGGGAGATATACGCAGAAGAAAAGAATGAGATATAAACCAAAGACACCACCATTTTTACAGGGGATAAAAATAAGTGTCTTGTTTATTTACCTGAAAAATATTTGCTCACTTCTCTGCATCATCTCATTGAACATGTACTTCACATCTTCTGCTGTCATGTGAAACTTACAGGGCTAAAATTTAAACAATCTTTATCTATACTGAAAAACATACATTCATTATGTTCAGATTCTTACTTTCTGATATCCTCTTGATCACAGACTAAAGCACATTTTATGCTGGTAGTAGCAGTGTATGAAATGGCCGCCAGCCCGCCAGCCCGAGGCTGGCAACTTTCAGGCCGGGCGGGTAAGATTTACAAATTACCCGCCCGACGGGCTGGCTATTTTTACAGCCTATTTTCACCTTTTATTTTGACTATGTTCACAAGCGACTTCAGCAAAATATCAAATCAACTCGATGTTTTTACCCACTTTCATAGAAGCAAAGAACTAACCATAGCTTGCGATCTAACGCTCATATCGAAATGTAACCAACAGTCTCCCTCTTAGTGGCCTCATTTTCAAAGTTCCGTCTGTGTGATATGAAGTTGAAAGACAATTTGAAACGAGGTGTTCTTAACCAGCTTCAGTGCACAGCAGATAACGTTACATCATTGTTTTGTGTAGAGGAGATACCGTGAGTAGCAATTTGTAGGTTGAGAGTAATAAAAATGTGAAAGTATAAAAAGTTATGATATTGTTTTAATAGACTTGCTGGTACATGAAGTACCTATAATCAACAGTAATAAAGGCAACGGAGGCTAATTAAAGGAGAATTTTACAAAAAAATTGAATCCCAAAATTATGAGTGAATGTACGAGTTTACGATGTGCGTCAGATGTAGTTCTTTTCCCACGTGCTTTCATCTTGGGCTGTCAAAAATGAAAAAAATTCTATCAAGTCCAATATAGAAGTTCACAAAAGAAAAACAATTGAGGGAAGAAATAAAAATAAGAAAGATTATGACAAAACCAAACGAAAGAGAACAAATTGGGACCCATGGGAAGGTGACTTCGATTTGCAATGAGTCGAGGGGCAACATTTTTTGTAAAACCGTAACCCGAAAGTATCACGCATTGCACAAGCACTCGCCCATACTCGCCCCATATAATATTTGTAGTCTCTATGTGATATAGCTATTCTCAATAAGCGATGCATTCGAGATACGGGGCTCTGCAGGACTGTCTATGGGCCATTAGCGTGCAGGACCTTTCCCGACCGCTTTAAGCGATATTCAAAGGGACCCTACGTGCTGAATTCTTTCTTCTTTATTGTCAGCACAGAGATCGATTTATTTGACAAGAATACATATGTATTTGGTCATACTTGTTGCTATACAGAAAAGCAACAATTATGATCAAATGATATCACGAAATCGGAATAAAAGTTCTGAATAAATTATTGAAGAAGAAATGAGACAGCCTGCAAGGTGAAAATAAACTGAATTGACTACCCCCCCTCCCCCGCCCGCTAAAGGGCCCTGAAAATTTTTGGTATTTTAGATGGTGAATGGTGCCATTTGGTATGGTTTAGAACTATGATTCAAAGTGAAAAGTCTTATTTCAAGAGGGGATTTTTTTTGCAGAAATTGAAAGGGGGGGCGTCAGGACCCCCAACACTGACAATGTATCATTTAGTAGAAATTCCAACCAATTTCTCAATTTCCACGCATAAGGCATGATATTGCCCTTTTATTTCCAAATTACTCTCCCAAGAATGCATTCTAGACCCCCTCAGCATACCTCTATTAACTCTAGGGGTTATCATAACTAGGGCAGGTAACTACATGGCCAGGCTGGTAACTTTTCAGAGTTACCTGCCCGGCGGTCTGGCTAGTAATTTCCTTGAATTTCATACACTGGTAGTAGATACAACTTCATTTACAAAACAAAGGCCCATTGAATTTAACTGAAATCTAAATTTTGTGTTATTTAAAGGAGGGGTCCTCTTCTAGTCATCAAAAAAAAGTCAGCAGTCACGTGAGACACTAGTGATCAATTATAGGTCTCAGGATGAGAAGCCAGCTTTGTACTACATTGTAACGAAACACCATATGTCAACCACTACATTCTGTGAATCGAGTAGAAAGATTTGATTCTTACTGCTGCAAATGCTCCATATCCTTTGACAGCTGAGGCAATCTCATTTTGCTTAGCATGGGGGTTGTCCAGTGTTTCCCTAAACTGACGGATGAAAAACTGAAAAGAAACAATGGGCACAATACAATCCAGACACTAGCAATCAAGTTATTTTGAACTCCTGTAAATTTAAGAAAGTTTTCAAAACTTAGATACAATCCATTACAAATAAATATATGCAAGTGCTATATACTGCAATGCTGTAAGAATTAAGGTATAACACCTGCAGTGACCTTCAACATCAAAATGGCATTGGTTGAATTGTAAAATTTAGGAAGAAAAATGTGAACATACTGCAAATGCAGCTCTATCTGGATGTCCTTCCTCTGCTTTGGTTGCAAGCATCTCAGCCATCTGAAACAGAACCGTTATTCTGTAACATAATTTCTGTAGTAGTCTCTCTCTCTCTCCTGAAAATGACTGTCCACACAGCCCATTATAATCTTAAAAAATCAATTCTTATGAAAATACAATGTAAACAGGAAACTTTGAGCCCACTTTCTGTGTGGATTTGTCATATTATTAATTCACTTTCTACAGTTTCTAAGATTATTAGTTTAATGTCTGTGAAGGTTGTCATGCTCCAAGATCGTTTCTTCTCTGCTGATGATATAAACACGATACTACCTGTTTAAAGAATGCCTCCAAAGCCTCCATACCCAGGGAAGATACATCTTTGTTGTTGTGTTGGCTCCAAGCTAGCAGAACAGAATACAGCCTCTAAATAAACAAAAAGAAAACAAATCGCATATAGATGCAGAATATACCCGATTACTGGCATATGAAATATCTGTTTCTAAACTTAAATAGAATTCCACAAGACTTAACCTTTAGAAGGATTACGCAATATTTTAACATGGATGATAGTTGTGGTTAAGTGTCATTCTCTAGAATTTCTATATTAAAATTCATTTTTATCTAATTCATACCTCATGATTTTCATAAATAAACTGGCTGAACTGAGATGCATGCCTCTTTAGAAGAGTGAGGGCTGCCCTCGTCAAATCATATCTAGCTGTTTCTTCCAGATTGAGAGCCATACGAGTACATTTAAAGATATCATAGGAATGTTTTCCTGAAAAAAAATCAATAATCATCTTATTAACTTAATGGTAATATATAACAACTGAATGAGACAAAAATGTTTAAATTTATAGACTTTCACAATTCAATATTTGATTTTAGATATTTAATTAGGCAGTTATGCTAAATACCTTCTTCTGCAGACTGTGTGAAATTGGTCAAAATGCTAGACAATGCCTCCAAGCAACCTGTCATCACTGGGATCTCAGGCTTGCCTGTCTTTTTGTTCATCTAAAAAAACATACTCGGTATTACATACATTGTACCCAATAATGTGATGAACAAGTTTTAATTATAGGGAATGAAAAGCCAGACATATGGATATACATTCCTGATTAATATTCATTTTCCAATTTATTTCAGTCCCTACTGCATATTTCAAAGTTACTGTGCATGCTTAAGAATTTTGAAAAACTTTAAAATTGAACTTCCTAATTTAAGATCAAAATTGCAACTTCAGCCAGAAAATTACTTACTAGTCACCAAATTCACCTATTCTAAAAAAACTTTAGACATAAATATGTGTATCAAGTCCAAGTTTGGAAATGGGGGTAAATGGTCAGTATGTTTAGTCATATAAAGAGACAATAAAACAGTGCACAGCTACTAGTACTTGCCTCTGCCTGTAAAGTCCGGACACAGAGATCAGTAAGCCGCTCGGCATAATTCACCATGCCTTCAGGGTAGACTTCAGCAAATATCCCAAGCAATTTATACAGTTCACGTTTCACTGAAAAATGAAAACTATCATGAACAAATTGAATGAATCATACATAAATCCTTGAATTTGGGGAAATTAATCCCCAGGAAGAAAATAAATAACTAACTGTAACTGGATTGTTAGGAAAATCTGTCATTGTAGCATCACTGAAGTATGTGTTGCAATATACCTCTGAGTTTAGCATTGAAAATTTCAGAAAATAGCTTAGCAGACCAATTTGTCTGTAAAAATATCTGAAATACCTTATCTTCAATCAAATTTATGACTGGCAGTGTTCAAGTTTGTTGAAATAGGTTAAATCATCTAGTTATGTAGATAAAATAAATTTAATCCCAGAGTGAGTGCATGCTTACCTGATGCCTGGTGTTTTGTTTTTCTGGACAATTCCATAAAGAAAAGCTCTATCATTTCCCTCATATTCAATTCTTCACTCATTTGGGAGCCCTCTGTCAGTTCTAGCAACTAATAAAAACATTCTACATAACAATTTTGACATTAAACAAGCAAAAAATAGTAAATCTGGTATTCATTAAGTCATTTAACAAAATCAGGAGAGGATAAAGCAAAATTCAACAACCAATGGTCAATATCAAGCTAAATACATCACTCTAAATTAACAAAAATATATTCTCATCACAAGTCAAATTTACTTAAGAAACTATTCATCACTGCAACACATAGGTAGTAAAAACCTCCAAGATATATGTTTATTAGCACATTGCTTTCATGCCATACTAACTTTGATCAATACAGGAATGACAACTTTCTTGACTGCAGCTTTTTCCTCACGAATAAAGAGGGTTATGCATACATCCTAAAAACAATTTGAAAAGAATTTTAAAATGGGTGTTGATGAAGAAGTACATGAAACTGCATGATGCATTTTTCACTTTTTCTTTAATACTAACCTTTTTATCTTATTTCTACTTATTACTTGAATAATTTTTTCCAAGTTTTTTGGGGAACTTTATATAATTCTGTTTTCAAGTATTGAAACTACTGAGAAATGAAAACTAGTAGTGAATCAAATACCTTGATGTCTACAGCATATGGCAGAACCTTTTTCTCAGCTCTCTCCATAAACAAACACAGGGTTTCAAGAATTGCTGTCTTTGTACTGTCATACTGGAAAGTGAAAGTAATTGAAAGTGAAAGTAATTGAAATTTTTATATAATAAGCAAAGATTATGATCTTATATATCTGAGAATTTGAGGTCTGATATAAAATTATTTTGACCGTCGGATCGATGACATCACCTTCAAACATACTTTGATACTGACCATGCATGCAATAGACTTAAACTTTTGGTCCATATATACCATTTTGCAGACCTGAGAAAGGTGATATCTATCTCGACTGCACCACGGTCAAGGTCATTCTGACCTTAGGTAAAGTCAATAATTATACCACTTTTCATAAGTACAGTGCATCTGCACACCATGCTAAAACATGTACTACTACTTCTTCAACAGTATTTGTTCTGGATTTCAGCCAAAATATACTCATTGGGCCACATCTTTACACCATTATGTGTAACTGGTTCTTTGTAAGTTTGTGACAGACTTCAACATGGTACTGTACCTCAGCCTGCTTCACAACTTTCTTCGCAAATGAAACTAGGCCTGTATCCTTGTTGAACAAAAGTGACGAGCAGTAATCTGTAAGAAAAGCCAAAAGTAAAATAAATTACTGAAAAAAAACATGTTAAATAAAAGAGTTCGGCTCTTATCCTTAAATACCATTTTATTTTACAACAGGGGGGTTTGAGACCTTAGGTACAATGTAGGAGATGGAATTGATCACTGGGAAAGAGGATCTGAGTGTGAGTGTGTATTCACTGAAAAGATGGGGAGGAATATAGTTTATTCACTGGGAAAGATGGAGAGGATCTGGAGTGTATATTCACTGGGAAAGATATAGAGTATCTTGGATGCATATTTACTGGGAAAAATGGAGAGGATGTAGAGTGTACATTCACTGGGAAAGATGGAGAGGGTCTGGGGTGTATATTCATTGAGAAATATGGAGAGGATCTGGGGTGTATTGACTGCCACTGGGGTTATTCACTGTGAGAAAAAATTAGGAGGATCTGTTTCCACCCACACTGATCTGATGCACTGTGCACCCCACGTTACATTCCGCCAATTTTTAGAATTGAATTTATACAAATGAAAGCATGGAAATATATCCATGATGAAAGCACTCAGTAAACCGTTTAGTCTCGTGATATCTTTACTGACAAAGTATGAAACAGATTTAATATGAATGCCGTATAATCTACACTCAGACTACGTGACTAGTGCAAGTATAGTTTAGCCTCTAATACGTTCACTACGAGCACGATAAGGAAGTTCGCTCACCTGTCTCTCTGTCCGACGTTTCCTTCAGACACAGGTTTGCTATATCCCTGACCAGTTCGAATGTTTTCCTCCCTCCTCGTGCATCTTCTTCTTCTCCACCGACGCAGGAATGTAGGGTGCAAAGCAAATCTTGCAAATTACCAGCCATTACTTCCTACTGTATTATCTTTCACATGTTTGGTCTGTGGGCACGCACCGGCAGGCGGGTTTGTCGACCGATATGTAAACACAGACTGTAGAATATCCCGCTAGAGGGCACCTTGGTCATATCATACCCAAGCAGTCTGTTCTTTTTTCATGTCTCTCTCACGGACTAATTCAAGTTTTAGTATGAAATGAACAAACATATATAGGTTTCGAAAAGAAACGAAAGAAAGAAAATGAAGGATAGCAAAGTAAAGAAAAGGACTTAATTCAATATCGACTCTCCACATGAAACTGTACTGTAGGGCCAGCTTGGTACTCAGATTGATCAAGGAGTTATACTGTTATAACTCCTTGGATTGATCAAATACACATCAAAAGGAGACAAGAAAATGAAAGCTATTGCTAATGGATACTTCACAAAATTACTGTAACCCATATTAACCTGTTCGTGCAGTATATTATTATTATTATTATTATTATTTATTGCTATAATTTTTTAGCGGCAGAGGTTTCCCACCCAGCTAACACAAAACGTTTTGATAACGTTACCACAGGAATTCATATTATATATTGCTTAGACCATCAGCAAACATAAAACAATTTGCAAAACTAGCATGACCACATACTAACTTGTTTTAAATACGTTCCCACGTACAATATGCAAGCAGTGGTCTTGATTAGTCGGCAGTCATGGTCGACTATCGCTGTTGGGCCGCAAGTGTGCATCTTGTAACGCTGTTTGAACTACTAACACCTTAATTGCGGTTAATTACAATATTGAGGTTGGGGTAAGTCGGCAACTACAGTGGTGCGGATTTTCCAACCCTTAATTAATTCCGACTGTTGTATGGTACGTACCCGAATTAACCGACGTGGTGAAAAGCTTTCATAAATTATAATAGTGAATATCACCACTATCAGGGGCGGATCCAAGATTATTTGAAGGTGGGATCCGCGGATGCAAAGCCGACTCCCCCCCCCCCCCAACCCAACCACTTGACGTGGGGTTAGGATCCTGTCCATATACAGGTTCACAAAATCTGACGATATGTCCAAATAGAAAAGGTGGGATGAGTCCATGCTGTCAGAAGAGGTGTCAGGGATTCCATAAGCGGGTGTCAGGTGGGGCGAGTCTATGCCTTAAAAGGGGGTGTCAAGTGGGGCGAGTCCATTCCTATGTAGGGGTGTCAGGTGGCGCGAGTCCATTCCACTGGAGGGGTATCAGGTGGGGTGAGCCCATTCCATTCAAGGGGTGTCAGGTAGGGCGAGTCTATTCCAATGGAGGGGTGTCAGGTAGGTCGAGTCCATTTCATTGGAGGGGTGTCAGATGGGTCAAATCCATTGTTAAACGTTTACAACTATTTCAATTTTACATATATCTGTATCTACCACAGACAGCTGTCAATCCCCAAAGCATTAATGAAAACAATATTTACAGATCAGATTTAGCTGGTTCAATATTAAAGTCCTCAAATACGAAATAGTGTTTCTCATTACCCATCCCATTACTTCTATCTTTATCAAAAAATCATAACAAAATTAAGAAAGGCCGAATTACAAAAATATTTATTCAATTTTCATATAATAAATGTACGAACGAGCGTCAGGTTCCTGGGTGTGAAATAAATGCTACTGGTAGGTGGCTTGCAGGCGCATGTTGTGCAGAACCTCGGTGAGTTTCTGAAAAGAAATAATGTTTACTTCTTTAGACTTAACGGACCGGCTTTTAACACACAGACAATCCATGCAATATCACATAGGGTAGGATACTTTTGGCGTGCGTGTTTATTGACTTGTACGATGTTCAGCCTACGCTAGCGCTGAAAAAATTAAAACCAAGATTGCCTGACTCCAAAATCAATATCTTGAAGTAGTAAATGTTATAACTATTTGATACTTATTGCTAATTAAGAGACGTTGATTACATAACCTGTGTCTGGGAGGGGAGGGTACTACGACCGTAAATATATTTTTATATAAAAATTTTAACATTTATCGTAATACATGCTGATATTGCACATAATCTAGATGCACGATCAGGTTTTAATATAGTTGGTCCTGTAATGGATGGTCAACATACGGCACACTGGAAAAGGAGATTTTTTAAAAATATGTATCTCTTAAAATAGAGTCATTGTGTATTGCTGACAGAATTTGACCACAGAATTTGGAATTGATGTACACGTTGATGGGACACTGTTATCCTTGGGTCAGAAGCTCATAACTATGACAACCATCATCTAATTTTAATTAATGGGCGCTCTTCGCGGTAATACTTACATTTAAACACGCACACGCCATTCTAAATCAGGTCCAAAATATTCGAAATCAATTGTTCAGGGACACACTAAATGTTCAAACAGAGCTAAAAAAAATATGCACGACTAAGAAATTTCAAGCAAACTTAGGTCATCATCAAAAATCAGGTGAGAGCACCGTCCATCCTGTACATTTGAAGCGTCCCAATGCATTGTAACCAATACATTCTTATACTCTGAGTGGCATACAAGTAACAATTAAAATAGTAGTAGCACAAGGACTCGTATTATTAATATTTGTCATGTTTTTTTTTTCATTCGTCTGCGTCTTTAGTATTTAAAGGTGGTGGATATTGAAAAAATAGTGATACTCACAAACACGCATTTGCTTCTGCACCTTAGCTCTCGAGATCTTGCCACTGCACCAAAAAAACGCCAAGTACTGTTGCGTCTACACCTGACCGTGCCCTACCCTCTACCAGGGTGGCAAATTTTTTGGCAGTGAATGAAATGACTGTCTATTTATCTAAAGGCATATCTGTGAATATCTTGTGAAAATCAATCTGTCGTCCTGGTAGAGGGTAACCGTGTCCAACTGCCAAGTGAGCATGCAGGAAGATAGTTCGCACAGCGATGAGTAACTTATTTTTATGCAAATTACAACAGGTATGGCTCATTTTAGGTGAAAGGTTGTTACTGCAGTGAGGGTCCTTTTTGGTATTTTCGTTACCCTTCAAAGCCACTTTTTATCTCCCGAAAAGCGTGAAATGTTCGTTTTATTTTGAATGTTTCGTGAAGCACCCCATTACTGTGACTCGTGAATGCGGCCTTTTAATTTCCACTATTCGAAAAACGGAGGAAGTGAAGAACAAAAGACTCGGACATGGTGTAATTCGGATGACCGCACGTCTCGAATGAATGCGTTATAACCCGTGAATGGACCCGTGGTCTCAATAACTTAAAAGATAGACCCCTCGTCAGCGAGGGTTATGTGACATCCATTCGTGCTAACACAGCCAGTACATATCAGAATCGTTCATACGCATGAATTTTCGTGCTATCAGTTAGTATGAATAAAGTTTTATTTACTGTGATTTGTGAATCGATAATTTTAATTTGCGTGAACCTTTGCATTGTTACTGAAATTGTTCACGAATGTTCAGACTCAAAACACGTAAAATATGACTGAAGTCCACTTGTTAGTGAAATCTTGGACATAATAACGTTATTTTGTCCTAAGATCCGTTTATTAGATCTTAGTTTTGTCCAAGGTGTAATGCACTACTTTATTCCAGAAAAATTACACGTGCGTGTACCAAGTATAGTTTCATATCCCCAGGATGCAGAACTTTCAAAAAATCTCGACGTATATACTAGTATGCATGTGAAAATTTAGAAATTGCTACCAAACAACAATGCCCCCTAAAACAGATTTAACTTGAGACCCTTGTTGAAAGCATCCCGCGTCGCCTACGGAGGTCAGGGGATAAGTTCGCTGCAGACACAAGCTAATAAGGCATATTCTCTTTTTTTAAGTGCATTCTGATGCTAATTGTGTATAAATTCCGTGGCATTTGACATTGTCTATTCAACTGATTACCTCTATGGAAATTACTGAAGAACATAAGGTATAGTACCATCTGAAAGTCGATGTATGTGCATGTAGGAAGTATGGCAGATGTGAGGTGGGGATGCAAGGGTCCTAACGGCATGAATTGACATTTAATTACACAAACTGGTGAGAAGCTAGATCAAAGCTCTAATACGGGGGGAAAGTTTTCTGATGAGATATATATACGGTGATATACATAACATTACTCAGAGATGATCCAAACAACGTTTATAATGTTGCCTGCAATGGTCTCCCTGTAGAGACTTAAAATACCACTTTTTTTATAGGTTTAAATAGTGAAGCATCATATTTTTTTAATGAAATAATCAATTAAAATATATTGATTTAAGAAATCCGACGCAGCAAATGTTCATGGCTTTCACAACAAAGACATTCACCCGCCTCGTTAAAATGCGCTAAAATTAATAATAATGTAAGTATTATATTTTAATGTCTTAAATTTCATCGCTTATATATGTATACCTTTGTGTTCCTTTGACCATGACGTCAATTAGCAAATTCTGCCCATAATCTGGCCTCAGCGCTTGTGGCATTTTTGAGTCACAATAATACCCGTCAATTTTTTTTTTTCATATATGGTGCCATTTGTAGTGGTTTTGGGTACCATATTCAACGCATTTTCTCAATACTGCGCTAGCCCCAGTGAGCACTCTCCGTTTCTGGCACAATCTTTACTGGTAAATTTACAGACAAATCAGTCAAGAATTCACAGATTTACATTGATAATATTTACTATTTTTTAACCAAGTTACACTTAAATTTTTTTTCTCTTTTATTTATATCTTTTTTTCATTTCACTTATCATTATTTTTGTCATTTGGCTTTGAATTACTGTAAGGTAAGAGAGATAAACAATTAAAAATATACTGAGCTCACAGTATTTTTATTCACATATCAGCAAAAACAGAAAATATTCAGAGCCTATAATTACTTATATATATTAAGCAATAACTTATTAAGTTTTTCTGAAAGCCAAAAATATTCATTCAAAGTATAAGAGTTGTATATATTACAAAATGTCTAAAAATAAATATATAAATATGAATAATAATTTACAGAAGAAATATGCAAATAAAATTGATGGGATATTTTAACAGCATATTTAGCAGAATACAGTAAATGTACAAAGTTGTGAAAATTGAAATTTAAGGTGAGATAAAATGACTGTATCAAAGGTGTGTGTGTGTGTGTGTGTGTGTGTGTGAAACAAGTAGAACATGGTAACATAAGTACTGGTACATAAACCATTTAGCATATCTAGGTATACAATAATGTTTATTAAAAATACAGGAATCCGATTATACATAAATGAAATACAAAAGAAAAATTGGATTTCAAATATTTCATCAGAAATACATGGGTAAATCATGATATTTTCAAGGTTGTGATCACGTGTATACTGGAGAGGTTTGTTCACTATTGCATCTTTCCATATTGATATAGGCCACAGTTAGTTTATCACAGATAATAGTTTAAAAATCTTTCAGGTAATGCAAGATATGGCAATAAAATTGTTTAACTTGTGAAATGATAATATAAAATGGCACTTCAAATACTTATTTACAAGTTATAATTTAAAATGGAGGACCCGGGGAGATACACTGGGCCATGTTCCTCCTCTCCTTAGTTTCTGAGTTATCTCTTTTCTCCTCCACCCCCCCCCCTCCCCCAAAAAAAAAGTATATATATTTAACAAGCTAAACAAGACAAAACTAGGTAATCATTCGATTCCTGTGCCCTACCTATAGTGAAATTGTCCTCGCCTGTTATCTTATATATCCCACACCTCACTCCCTACCACCTGAGCAAAATCCTGGATACACCAGTGAACGGTACAAATCCTGGTCCAAAAATATACACTTAGATTAGATGGAAAACATCAACATTTCAATTAACACAGTGTACTTGCAAAACATCAAAAGTTCAATCAATACAGTTTACTATCTGATATGTTTTCTTTCACGTGGATGAATTGGTTCCTTCCTTGAACAGCAGGTTAATCTCTTCCCACAATTGCCTGCAGTAGTTTCTTGTAGTCTCCAGAGCAGTCACTCTTAATCCAGTTCCACAGAGTCTGCCCTGTCAGTGCAAGGAATGCTGCCTTGATCTGAACCATATCAATCTAGAAAAACACATTAAAAATTTTATAAATATTTTTTATTTTTTAAAGAGACTTGTGCTCTACTGACTAGGAGGTAAAAGAGGCATTAGGTACACTTAACTGAGACCATATCCACTTGACAATCTTGCTATCAGTATCTGAAAAGTACTGCTTACCTCAGATCTGGATACAATAATTCTTATCAAAGTCTTGTCATCTGTGCCTAGCCCTTTCATAGAAGCTTTCAGTCGTTCAGCAAAGAACATTGGACGACAACGGATGTTCATTACTAAAAAAAAAAAAAAAAGAAAAATCTAGGTGTCAAAGTTGCAAATGTGTCAATGAATTCTTTAAAATTTTAAAAATGCTACCACAGAGAACATTTTGAATGGCTATTGACAGAGACCTTCCCTGTTGAAAAAGTACCATGAGGATTTGATAAGACACGTCTGATAAAATTTGATGGAAAATCAAATCATGATAAACATTTGTATCAATCTGGATCCCACAGGTGGACTTATTCGCTCCTGTGTTAGATGATTTTGAGAGCAAGTTTATTGGAATGTATTACTTACAATGAAGTTAAGACAATTTATTTGTTCATCATAAACACCAAACAACTGAAAAAGGGGCATTCAAATTGATCTTTTAGTTTAAAAAATACATATTTGTGTTTCCCCAACTAAAATTTAGACAGGGTAATACAAATCACATTAGTTATTTTGACAACCTGATAAAATTTTCATGGTCTGAGACAATAATACATCCTAGCTACCACAGGCCCGTAGCCAGGGGGGGGGGGGGGGGGGGGTTAAAAAAAAAACCCCCTTTGGGGGGAAAGGGCCCCCTTGGGGAAAAATTTGATCTAGGAAAATGAAGTTTTTTGGGAAAAGGGCCCCTTTTTTCAAAAAAAAAACCCCCCTTTTNCTTTGCTGGGAAAAGGTCCACTCTGGGTAAAATTTGATCTAGGTACATGAAGTTTTTATGGGAAAAGGTCCACTTTTTCAGAAAAAGAACCCCCCTTTTGAAATTCCTGGCTACGGGCCTGTACCATAACATACCTATTGCTTTCAGTCCTGCCTTGAAATCACCAGAGGTTTCACGATCTACTGAGTTCAGGATATCTCGCTGGGAAAGCTAATAAGTTTATTAAATACAGATCAATATTAATTTCAAACAGTGTTGTCCATTGTTTCTAAATTTATAAATAATACATATATAAATAAAAAACAATTACATGTATATATAACCCTAAGTACATATAATAATATATAATCTTTCTTTGATGTAGATATATTAATATATTCTACAAAACACTGAAATAATTCTTAACTTTTTGTATGCATTTTACTGCATTAAAAGCTACTGAAACATGCCTTAAATTCTAGTCAAATTATTGTAATTTAGTTTTGCTATTAAGATAAAAAAATAATGCCTGGTTCTGCTGCCTAATTGTTTCAAATTGTTTCAGCTGGCAGGACTGAACCCTGCTATAAATGTGATAGAAATAAAATATACTGGAGATGACATAACTTCTTATAGTAGGGAAATAAGATTCACTTCAAGTGCCTTATGAAGTAATTAATAAATCTTATAAAAAATAATAACCATGCCAAATTGTTATTATCCCTTAAGAGATTGCAAAACCACAAACGTTTAATGTGACTTTAGCTGACAAAAACGATGAAAATAATTATAATCATAAAAAATATTTCAGAATAAGTGATACATTAGAAATTTGTTACCCGCACAATATTATTACCTTGACATATTCATCCCATGTGTGTCTCAGTTCATAATAGTTCCTTACAGAAAAAATCCTGTTGAAAGCTTCTTCATCTGTACCCCATCTGTCCTCTCCAGCCTTATACAAAATTGCAGCATCTCTCTTACACTTATCAACATCCACAAGTTTGGAAAAGTTGATGCGGAACTGTCCAGTGGGTGCATCATCCAATAATATTTCTTCGACAGCATCCTCAGTAATTGTCAACTCATCACGATTTCCCTTCATGAAGAAATGCAAAAGGACTTATGATGTAATTGTTATTTATACTTTAATTTAAAGAACGAGTTGGAAAATATCTTACTACTAAATCTTTTGATGAAATAAATGCTTTTTGCTGTACAAACCTGGGCTGCTGAAATCAAAAGTCTCTTGAAGTCTCCACTTGTATCATCAGTGATATCTTTTTCAAGCAAAGAGCCAGTCACCTTTCTGTTGGGGCTAGCAACTGAAAATACATACAGTGTCATGGTTGATCTTAACAGTGCTTTTGAATGGCAATGAAATATGCATTTGTCACTCTCTGCAATCATAATCTTTATATTTAACTATATAACTATAGCTATATTATAGAACTAATTGTTTATTATAATTTTTCTCAAGCTTTATACTTACATATATTGGTGCAAATGAAATATGGCAGTAACATAAAAAGTGTCTTAATTTTTCTCAATATTTTGTCTGTCCAAAAACTCGCATGTTAACCAACCCATAAAATATTTAAAAAAAAACATCAGAATTCATTTGCCAAAAATCTCAACATCTCCAGACTATCCCCCACCCTCCAAAAATGTTTTTATTAAAAAATACTTAAATGTTTATTATCCCATATACTTACCATCAGCATACACTGCCAGTATCTCCTTGATCTGTGGATTGGTTCTGGTCATCAGGATCTCAATAAGTGATGCCTCATCTGTACCCAGTCCCTGATATGACAAAAAAAAAACAGGGGGCTAATTTAAAGGAGTGGTTTATAGGACTTTCATTGCCTTTTATATCTTCCATAATTCATATGGCATCTTTGTTTTTACTAAAAAAAGTCAACGTTATTAATCCAAGAATCTCCCTCCCATCCCCACCATATACTTGATAAGGAACCATCAAGGACTAGTACCTGCACTGGTTCCATTTCTCTATTTGTGCTAATATGCATTTACTTGTGCCATTCAAAGATTTTTTTAGCAGCCTACTTGCAGAATATATACAGGTACTTACATAGATGGCCTCCTTAATGCTCCAAGCGTCATATTCAGCAGGTTTCACAAAACAAGCCATCACAGCCTCCCTGAAGTCACCACTTAATTCAGACTTAATATCTTCAATCAGATCCTAAGTGGAAAAAGAAATTATGAAAAGTTGCCTCAGGGACAATTCCCAGACCCTATCATGCTAACTGTGGATTGATCTCCAAGGGGATTCTTGCTAAATTGCAATCAACTAAAGCGGCTTAAGCTAGATGTCTGTCACACCTACTAGGGGGTAATTATCCTTTAGCAGCTTCAGAAGGTGTGCCAGAAATCTAAGCGGCTTAAGCGAGAAACCCCTTGGAGATGGATTGATCCTGTTAGATCGATCTAGGTATGGGAACCCAGCCTCAGTCTAGTGTTAGAATGCTGCAGGACTCCACTTCCATCAGCATAACATTCGAAAATTAGTACCTTTTTTTGGAAAATTGTTGGGATAATATCTCTTTGGGCAAGGGCCTTTACAGCTATATTTCCAAATATCATAGTTAAATGAATAACCAAAATAATGAGTAACTTTCTTTCAACACATAAAATGGTTAAAGGAATGTATAGGATTGTTCTGTATCTTTTTAGCACCTGTGAGTAATTCAGTTTGTATTTCTACTGACAAAAGGATACTAATGTATTCATTTATACATCAAGTTATATATGTGTATGTAATATACATGAAATTAAGGCAAAATTGTTGAAATTGTCAGGAAAATTTACCCTTTTTCTATATGAGGTATAAGGATGGCTGTGTGCCTTTAACTGGTATTAGGATGATCATGGATATGTACTTACTCTTCCGTACATGGTCTTGTACTTTAGCTTCAACTCCTGTCTTTGGGAGTTGCAACGAGTTGCTACAATATGGATAACAGCATCCTCATTTGTACCTGAAGAGAACACATTATCCTTGTTACTGCTGTTCCAAAAAAATAAGAGTTCAACTTTAAGACTTTTAAGCCATATACTAGTATTGACTAAATACAAAATACACTCATCTAAAAAATTCTATAATAATTACTGTATTTGAAAAATGTTTTAGTCAAAGTCTTAGACAGCTCGAAACCATAGATATAATAAAGGGTCAATAAAAAATGATATTTTATGGGCAATTTCATGCAATTTTCATTTATTCAAGGCTGCTAGAATTTCATTACTCAAAATGCACAGACAGTTCTATGGTACATGGCATGCCTTAAACTATAAAATGGCACCCTGAAAACAATAGGAATTGATCTTCAAAAAATGCTTTAATTAGATGTGTATAAACCTGGCAATTTTGCTCATTACCTAGTCCCTTTAAGGCCTCTCTCAGGTATGCACAGTCATCCTCAGAACTCCATTTCTTTCCAGACACATCACCATAATCAGAAGATTTGGACCAAAGAACAACTGGGTCTTCGTTGTCACTTGGGTAGACCAGCATGGGCTTCACTGTGCCCTCAGTGGGGTCCAAGGTCCCAGACACTGCCAAGCACCGCTGCAATCCCTTTACAAACAATGCCCTCAATTTCTCAGATAATTCTTTGTTATCAGCCAGCTTCTTACGGACTTCTTCTTGCTGTTTCTTCATCTCTTCAAGTTCCTGCTTCAACCTCTCTTTCTAAAAAATTATGTACTTTCTTGAATATCATTTAGTACATATGTCATTTAAGACAAGAGCTTTGATTTTGTTTTCTGTGTACACACAGTTCTTTTACTGTAAATAACCCATATAAGCAAGAAAAGAAGCGAAATTATAAGATATTATTAAATGACTGAAATGTACCCAGAGTAAAACTTTCAAACTTAATCAGTTGTCAAAAAGTATCAATATTCAAGACCATGCACAGAACCTTGATTAGTTTGAAATGTTTTGTTTTTTTTTTTTTTTAATTTATTTATTTTTTTTTGTGATCAAAAACAGATCATCTGTTACAAGTGCATTTTTGATATTTTTTCTGAATAAAAAGAGGCAAATTTGACATTTGGGATAAATAGAAAAGCATTAGAAATACTATAGTGATCATAATTTAAACTATGATGGGTCCTCAGTGTCTTGTATCAATTATAATTCATCTATGTGCCTCAATAGGTTAACAATTTAAAATCACATTTTTGCATTAATGTTAACTGTAAATGTTTAAACACTGTGGTTACCTCTGCATCTTCATCAACTGGTTCCTCATCTTCATCTTTCCATTTTTTCTGAAACCATTTGCATTAATACTTCTTATATTTTATTTGGTTATTTTCATATAATAATAATAAAACTTTTTTGCAAGGATCAATTAAATTATAATTAAATCTAAAAATTAAAAACTTAAGTAGATAGTTGACTGTAACATATAGACTACTTCATATGAAGGAAAGGTAAACTCTTACTAGTCCATTAAAATGAAACAGGCCCACATTCATTTATGTGACCTACTACTGATTATTTTTTGTCAAAATAGACTTAATTCTGGACTCATAGTTAAGCCCAGCTTTTAACCTTTATAAAATTATCCCCAACAGAAACAAAAATCATGTTTCATGAAAGAGCTGAATATATTAAACCTACTGATTTTTGCTTTCTTCTGACTCTATGCTCATCTTCTTCAATCAAACCAGCCTGAAATAAATTCTCACATCATGCAATGCATATTTATATAAATATACCTGAACGATTAACTATTCAGAATTTCTGACAGTTCACTTGCTGGATAGTCTTCGCGTAAAAACATTAATGTCAACAGTATTTTCAGAGGTTCATCAGTCTGAAGTTTCAAAATCTATTGCCATCCTAAGATAATGCTGGAAAAGAATCTGTTTTATCAATGTTTGCCTAATTTATTTTCAAGCCAATTCAAATTCCCAAAGAGGGACTGCAGACCATAAATCTTTCATACCAATTACTGGTATCTTGTAAAAACTTTTTCATTTTTTATACTACAAAATAATTAACCTTCTAACCTGTGAACCCTAGATGTAAATGAAATGTTAGGACTATCCCACTATGTCTATGCACATTCATCCAACTTTTCAGGAACCACAAATTATATTTTGTGCAAATATATGATTATCTTCAGGTATAATACAAACTAAACACATATAAAATTTCACTTTTCATAATTAATTTCACCGTAAAAAAGAAGCATATAAAACTAGAACGTACTCCAAAAGAGTACAGATTGATCAGTCTGCCACAAAAAGGCAATAAAAACTCTTTTACACATAGTAACAGACATACCAACACCAAATTAAAAAATAACCTCCTGCAGAATATATATTATTTTTACCTCTATCTGCATTTCATGCGACATACTGAACATGCCCGCATTGCTCAGTTGTTGGTTGTAAGCTCTGGCTTGCATTGATGGGGGGATTTGCATAGGAGCCTGAGGAGCAGCACCCTATAACATATACAACATATATCCACTATTAAATCTTGCCACTTATCTTAAAATCATTTCTGCTTGTATTCTGATATTGACAGTTAAAATCAAACAATGAGTGTTGGATACCATGGGTATTTATATAGCCAAAAATGTAATTATTCCAGATAATTAAAGAATTACAAAATGTTGAATGGCTCACACTGTAATTTTGTATACTGTCTACTATTTTAGCAGCCCCTGATAACAGAGGGTATAAATTTACCTGCATCTGCTGAGACTGTCCCTGCTGATAGTTTTGCTGATATTGATGCTGGTATTGTTGCTGAATGTGCTGCACATGCTGCTGTGTGGCTTGGTGACCCCCTGGGTTATGAAAATTAAAGTAACAATCAAATAAAATCAAAGAAAAGGGATTGAAATTTGTAGTTTAGCAGTGGTGCATTTGCATCTACCGTGTATGTCAGATAACTTCATGGGGCCATTTACCAAGATGCTAAATATTTGTACACTTAATGAGGCACACATATGGCAATTAATTTTAATTTCATTATCCTGGTGATTTCAACTCATTTCCCTTAATCAACAATACACAAAACTGTTTACATAATTGTAACCTACATGTATATAGCTGTTTTTGCATTCCAAGTTGCTATAGTTTTTAAATCATTCTCAGATGGAGATACAAATTTAAAGACTAGTGAATTTCACTTTTTATGGTAAAATTTGGTTTTGGATAGGGTACGTATTTATCTTGGTGATGATTGAAAAATTACTGACACTACATGTAGCTTCCAAATACTAGTACATTATTTTTTTTCTTCTTTTTTTCTATATAAATAGCTAACACATATTGTACCTTTAACAATTCTGTGAAAAAAAAAAGAGATCATAAAAGATCATAAAATGTTATAAAGTTGATGTTATTATTGATTATATGGAAGATGAAAACATTTTGATCTATTTCTTGACAGTATTGTAATAGGTAATGGGCAGTTGTCACCAGGCTTTCTCTTCTTTCTCTTATACACTATCAAGACCAAAAAAATGATTACAAGCAACTGTTGATAAGTGCTGGTTTTATCACAGGGGAGGTTAAGTTTTATATATATCAATCTCAACTTTATACACACACACACACACATATGATATTCATAATTGAGTAACCTAATAGTCATAAATAAATAAATATTAATAAATAAACGAATTCAAAACTTACCTTGAAAATTTGACATTTGGAACATATTGTTCTGAGGTCCTGCTTGCATACCAAACTGAGGAAGGTTATTCACATTGAAAGCACTATCTAAAAATATAAAGATGAGCATTTTGCTATAAAAAAATTAGCAGTGACAACTTTTTGGTAATGTATGATGGTTTTAACCAGAAAGAGGATATGGAAAATTGAAATAAAACTCAAAGTACATTCAAGAATCTATTTCAAACTACTGGATTTACATATGATAAAAAATGTTTTATAATTGCAATGATACTACATTGCTTACATGAACTGTTAAAATGGCATGCTCAGTATGTTGCTGACATTCAATAAAAAAATAGTAATAATAACATTAATACAGAAAAGATAAAACAACTGCTGTTGTGTACAGTAATGCTACCTAGGCACCCTCATTATGCCTGCCTCTGCCACATGTCATGAGTTCTAAGAATTTTTTTTTTTATCACAAAGAAGAAGCAAAATGTGTACAAATAATATTCCAGCAATTCAATGAATATAAAGCAGAATTAGAGTAATTCTTTAAGACTTTACTCAACAAATTAATTAAGTTATTGTACAGGGTCATTGGTTGCCCAAGAATCCTATCTAGACCACTATTAAAAAGATTACTAATTCAAAATTGGATTTAGTCAATTTAAAAACAGACCAAGTAAGTAACAAAATAAGTAAATAAGTATAAGCAAAAGTATAAATTAATATAATATGATGTAGACTATGCCCGTCTGTATATCTATCTGCCTGACTTTTTGTCTATCCATATTAATTCTTTTCCGTACATGCACAAGTAATACTACAGGCTAGGGTGTATGATGACCTTTTATCCGTCTGATTAATTTTTTGTTTATGAACCTGTCTGCATGTACATGACAATGCTACATGAAATAGTACATAACCATGATTGCTCAACATTTATCACAAAATGAAATTTGAAATAAGTACTGAACATTTTTTCAAATTATGACCTTAGCTTCATTGAGCAACTGACTGCTGGCATGTGTGCATGTTTATTTTGCACGTGTATAACTTCTTACCCATCATGGCTCCCATCGTTCCTGCAGGATCATGAAATGAGAAAAGTATTATAAATAAAAAAAGAATCATTAGAAATTAGAATTCATTTTTGAAATTATTTTCTAAGCATAAGTTTATTTGACTGAAACAACAAATAAAATGCCAGACATGCGGAAAACTTATGAGGTACTGAAGGTCAAGCAGATCTGCACTTCAAGAAATCTACAAGGTCCTCCTACAGAATAATTCTGTGCATGTCCATTAGTCAGTGTTTACATATGACTCATTTTATGTCTTATATTTCCATCAGTTTCCCTGTGTCTTACAATGCATGGTGAGAATGAGGATGTGTATACGTGCATGTGTGCTTGCCTGCTCACATATCGGTATTTTTGCATATGTGTAGTCGAGAATCCACTTTGTAAATGTAAATACAAAAAATTCCTTTTGTGCATGATTGGATTATTTGCGTGAATTGTATGCTTGAAAAGACAAATAACATACCCATCATGCCTGACATG